TCAGTGAATACAGCGTCAGCCTGCAAGCTGAAGGGTCCCAGGTTCTATTCCAGTCATGGGCACATGTCCAGGTTGTGGACTTGCTCCCCAGTAGGGGCCGTGCAGGAGGCAGCTGATCAATGATTCTCTCTCTTCATTGATATTTCTCTCTCTCTCTCTCTCTCTCTCTCTCTCTCTCTCTCTCTCTCAAATCAATAGATAAAAACAATTAAAATATGGATATTTTAAAATGAGGATGAACACAAACATAAAGCATTTTTGTTGCTTTGCTATTATTTATACCTTATGTGAATAGAAGTTAACAGCAGCTAGGCAGGCAACAGGTTTCAGAAATCAAACTGGGATTAAGATGAGTAGCCATAGGATCTTATTCTATAAAACTACTGGTCAGAATAACAAAAGAGACTTTCTAAAAACAAAGATATATATATATATTATTGTAAAATATTTTAGTTATCTAGTTCAATCATGAATCTATTATAGATGTGATATGACCAGGGGCTCAGTTCAACCCAAGGGGTATCTATTGTAGTATTTTTCAGACAGCTCTAATGATTTAAAGTTCTTCTATTTAAAGATGAAATTTGACTTTACTATATATAGCTCTCACTCTTTGGACCTATGCCTGCCTTGAAAAGCAGAAAATAAACCATCTTCTACAAAACAGCTCTTCAAAGATCTGAAGATAGGCATAGGGCCTCTCCAACTGTGTCCTCTGCTCCCACATTACCTGATCTCCAGCTCCCCTTCTCCTTCCCTCCTTTTGAGCACTTTAGTTCATCAATGCTGTGCTTAAAATAAGGCACTCAGACTGAACTTCTCCTGGTATGGCCCGAGACGTACAAAATAGTGAAGAACTATAACTTTCTGTGATCCTGAATGCTGAACATCAATTCAGTTAGGTAAAAGTAGCCTCTTGACTGCTGTTATAAGAACATCAATTTCAAGGTTTCTGGCAGAGAGAGGACTTGTTTCATTCATTTTAAAAGAAAACACTTTAAGTACATTTACAACAGGCTAAACATTCATGCCTTTTGAAACAGAAATACCAACTGTGTCCTCTGTTCCCACATTACCTGGGATTTATATATATAAATCCTCACCCAAGGATATTTATTGATTTTAGAGAGAGAGGAAAAGAAAGACAGAAACATCAGTCTGAGAGAGAAACATCGATGGCTTCTTCAAGTACGTGCTCTCTTCCTTTTATTAATATTAATTAGCTAATTATGATGCTAACAAGGGAATTAAAAAATGTGAGAGCACTCATTGCAGTCTTGCACAATTTACCCACTTTAAAGAGGAAGCCTGCAGCTGGTAGGCATGGAAACTTAGAACCAAACTTTCTAGAAGGTACTTTGGCAAAACATAGTAAAAGCTTTAAAAGTGTGCAGTTCTTTGAACCAAGAATTCCACTTCTAGGAGTTTATCAGGAGTAAAATAAAACTTAGATGTCCCTGGAAGTTTAGTTGAAAGGACAAGTCACAGTGGCATTTATTACATTTTTTAAATTATAATTAACTAGAAGAATATTTTGTTTTAAAGCAGTAGTTTAGCTCTGAATTGACTCACACTCAACAGGAACAACAACAAATAGAGAAACCAGCTGCAGCCTCCAAAGTTTTGTGAGGAGCTGCCAAAGGTGAGAAAGAGTAGGAAACCTGGTGAAAAACCTTGAGTGAGAAGGGGATGTAGACTCTCAGAGAGTTTAGAAAGCTATTATTATTATTATTATTATTATTACTATTATTATTATTTCTTCCAGAATGGGAAAGCCCCACTTTGAAAGGGAACTATGAAAACAAGTCCTAAATCATACAAAGAAAGATTGCTAGGGACAATGGAAAGCACTGGAAAAAGAAAAGTGGGCACCTTCTCTTAGAAACAAAAATAAATCTGGGAAAGAGAGTTGGACAGAGAAGCTCTCACCAACCATGCTTTGAAATCCAGAGAAGAGGTGACTACTCATAAAGATCATGTTTGAAGTTTGTCACTGTGGCAACAAAGAGAGCTCCCCTGGCCACACTTTCCCACCCCTCCAACACTTGTTCAGGGCACACAACAGTGGAGCAATGACACTCAATGGAAGAAAAGTAAAGTTTAGGTATAAAGCCTATAGACAAACATATTGAAACCTGTAAAAAATCAGGAAATATCATGAACCTTTTCTGAGGAATCTACGAGAACCATAGAACAGCAGTCTCAGTACTACTGAGGGAGTCTGAGGAAATCCAGATAAAAGGCCCCTCCTTGAGCATGAAATGTATTTGACTACAGAAATGAGAGTAAAACCAATACAGAGGTTAGGATGACAGATCAGAATGCAGATGTTGCATTCCTTAATATGGTAGAAATTTCTCATCACTAATAAAAAACTGAAGAAGAGAGAGAAAAGATAGGAATAAGAATAAGCTCAGTGCCTGGCCAGCATGACTCAATGTTTGAACATTGACTTATGAATCTGGAGGTCATGGGTTCAATTCCAGGTCAGGGCACATGCCCAGGTTGCAGACTCAATCGCCAGTATGAAGTGTACAGGAGGCAGCCCATCAATGATTCTCTCGAATCACTGATGTTTCTCTCTCTCTCCCCAGCTCCCTTTCTCTTTGAAATTAATAAAAACGTATTTTAAAAAAAGAGTAAGCTCACGGATCACCTCAAATTAATTGATTCAAAGGATAGTATTTAAAGATTCAAAATAAAGTAGAAGCTTAAGCATATTTAATATAAACACTAAGGATTGACAATTCTGTTGATTGTATGATGGTGGAAGGGTCAGGGGGAGATACAAGATAATTACAAGATAATTTTATGATTCATGGTAGGTATTTAAAGGTACAGTCCCTAAAAAGAGTGTATCAACAGTATTTTATAAAGGTAACTTCTAGAACAAAAATACAAACCTTATTAAATATCAGAACCACATTAAGAAAAGGGCAATTACATAATGAAAACACAACATTAAAAGTACAGAATTGAGACCAAATATATGTTATCTCAATAAATATAAATGAGTTCATCTCATCCATTTTATTTATTTGTAGTTTTTAATTCTCACTTGAGGATATATTTTTATTACTTTTTTAGAGGGGAGAAGAAAGAAAGAGAAAAAGGAGAGAGAGAGAGAGAGAGAGAGAAAGAGAGAGAGAGAGAGAGAGAGAGAGAGAGAGAGAGAGAGAGAGAAGAGGGACAGAGAGAGACAGAGAGAGAGACAAAGAAACATCGATGTGAGAGAGAAACAAATGCACCCCTACCAGGGATAAGAACCTGTCGCCTCGGTATGTATCCTGACCAGCAATCAAACCCACAGCTTTATGGGTATGGAGAATGCTCCAACTAGCTGAGCCACCCAGCTGGGCTAACTCACCTACTTTAAAAATAGTTTTTAAAATAGATTGCAGCCGAAACTGGTTTGTCTCAGTGGATAGAGCGTTGGCCTGGGGACAGAAAGGTCCCAGGTTCGATTCCGGTCAAGGGCATGTACCTTGGTTGCAGGCACATCCCCGGTGGGGAGAGTGCAGGAGGCAGCTGATCAATGTCTCTCTCATTGATGTTTCTAGCTCTCTATCCCTCTCTCCTTCCTCTCTGTAAAAAAAATCAATAAAATATATTTTTAAAATAAATAAATAAAATAGATTGCAAAGCCCAATCCAACTATAGTCCATATACATATAAGACAAAATAATTCAGAAAGCTTAATAATGAAAGGATGAGCAAAGAAAAGCATTCAAGAAAAATAAAACTTTAAAACTCTTAATATCTGTCAACATAGAATTCAGTACAAAAAGCTTTAACAAAATAAAGAGAAGTAGTTTTTAATGCTAAAGGCTACAATTTACCATAAAAACAAGATATGAGTATATACCGTATGCACAAAATGTTCAGCAGGAACTTTCATATAATAGAAACTGTAGAAATGCAAGGAGATTTAGACAAAGACACACTAATAATAGAAGACTTTGATTTGCCTTGCCCAATTCCAAACAAATCAAGTGGTCAAAATGAAATGAGAGTTTAGAAGTCCAAATAATATAATCAATAAGGTAGATGTTACTGATATGTATCAAACATTGTGCCCTGAGAATAGAAAATATACTTTCTTATCAAGTGGTCTGAAATATTTGTACACACAAAAGAATATGTTAGGCCATAAACCAAATCTCATTAAATCATCACAGTAAAAATAATATAGGTAGCATTCTATTATAACAACACAATAAACATTGACATTTGTAACATATTTAGAAAACAAACAGAAAGTACCCCTCAATTTGGATGTGTGTGTGGGTATATATTAAGTAAATCTATAATCAAATGGAAAATACAAATTCAAAACTGCAGACTTTCTAGTAAACAATAATAATTAGCACATATAAAAGGACCTAGGGGTATAGTTAAAGTAGTACTCAAGGAAAAATTCACCGCCTTAAATAAGTATATTTACATAAACAAAAGAAAAATAAATGAATAAACAGCTGGCTTAAGAAACAAGAAAAAATAAATAAAGATAAATACAGAAATTAATCAGTTAATCCAACAAATTATAGTAGAATTTATAAATAGGCTTATTCTTTTAAAAAATTCAATAAATTAGGTAAGTCGCAAGCAAAGTTAATCATAATGAAGGAAATGCACTAAAATCCAAAATAAGAAATTACAAATGGAAAATAGTCACCTTAGAAAGTAAAAAACAAAACAAGAATATCTTATACAATTTTATGCAGATAAATTTGAAAAGCTATATGAAATATATAATTTCATCAGAAACTAAAGATAGAAAACCAAAATAGACCAATAAATTTTCCAAAATAATTTGAATATAATATTATGCATAATATAACATATAGACATAATGCTAATAAGTTACAATAAAAATTTTAAGAAATAATTTTGTCAAAATAATTTGATAAAATTTGTCAAACACCCTTCTCCCTTCCCCCAAAAAACCTAAGAAACATCAGATTCATTGTTTTATAGGGGAATTTAACAACTCTACTAACCTTTAAAGAACAAATGATTCCAGTGATTTTTTAAAATGCTCCATAGCCTAGAAAAAGAACAAACTATTTTCAAAAAGAAAATATAAGTACATTGATATCAAAATATAATAACAATTGTAACAATAAAGAAAAATAGGCCAATCTCATTTTAAAATATCAATACAAAACTCCTAAATAAAATTTTTAATAAAATTCAGAATCCAAAAGCACACTGAAAGAATAATATATTACGACCAGCTGGTCAGTGTGGCTCAGTGATTGAGCATTGACCCATGAACCAGGAGGTCACAGTTCGATTCCCTGTCAGGGCACATGCCTGGGTTCTGGTCTTGACCTCCATCCAGTAGGGGGTGTGTAAGAGGTAGCTAATCAATGATTCTCTTGCATCATTGATGTTTCTATCCCTCTCCCTACCTCTCTCTGAAAACAATAAAAACATATTTAAAAATAAATAAATAAGTTGTTTGTTTTTTTTAAATAGGACCAAATAGAGTTTATTCTAGGAATGGAAATAAGGTTCAATATTAGAAAAGCTAATATAAATCATCATATTATGAACTACTGAACCACTGAGTCAAACCAGTGGTGTCATATTAATAGTTTTAAATAGAAATTCATGGGTAGCTTTGTAAATACTGAAAATGCATTTGATAAATACTTATTCTTGATTTAAAACACTTAGTAAAATAGGAATTAATGGATACTTCCTCAAAATGAAAAAAAAATTCTTAGCAGAAAAGCAACAGTTTGTTTATCAGGAAAATGCTAGAGACTAATATATAGGATATGTTAGACTTAGTAACTAATGCATTATAGGCATGAGAAACAAATTAGTGGTAAAAGAATTGAAAAAAAACATTCTAGATTATTTTCTAGTGTATCCTCTATAATTCTCTTAAGGTTTCCAGCCCAAAAGGATTGGAGAGGAATGTTCAAGATAGTATTAGTAGGTGAAGAAAAGAGGAGGACCAAAAAGAGGAGGAAAAAATGGAAAGATTTGATGGTTTGAATACATTTGACACTCCATCCTAAATGTAGAGCCTATCTTTTTAAAATGTTTTTATTGACTTGAGAGAGAGAGAGAGGAAGGGAGAGGGAGAGATAGAAACATCGATCGATGAGAGGGAAAATATCAACATTGATCAGCTGCCTACTGCATGGTCCCAATAAGGATTAAACCCATAATCTAGCATGTGCTCTGAACTGGTGACATCCTGGTGCATAGGTCAATGTTGAACCACTGAGACACATTGGTGGGGTCAAAATATGGAACCTAATTCTCATGCCCCTGAATGTGTACTGGACTTAGTGACTAATGAATAAGTCAGAAATTATGTTACATGACCTAGAAATCCATGTCATGAAAGATATTGTAGCTTCTACCTTGCTCTTTCTTGATTCACTTACTCTGAAGGAAGACCCCTGCCATATGAGGACACTCAAGCAGCCCTGCGGAGAGGTCCATATGTGAGAAACTGGATCTGAGGCAAACAGCTATATGCGTGAGCCATCTTAGAGGTGGCTCCTCTGGCACTAACAAGCCTTCTCATACACAAAGCATCAGTCAATAATGTTCTGAGCCTCATCAGAGATGCTGAGCCTGAACTACCCCGATGAGGTCCCCTGCATTCCTAACTTACAGAAACTGTGAGATAGTGTTTACTGCTTTGAGTCACTAAGTTTTGGAGTAATTTGTTATGCAGCCATATAACTAATACAGAAGGCAAAATAAAGTCATTTTCAGGTTGATAAAAAGTGCCACAAGCAGACCTATAGTAAAGAAAATGCAAACAAATTTTTCATGTAGAAGGAAAATGAAACCAGATTGTAAGAGATAGAGAAGGAATGAAGAACAAGTAAAGTGATAAATGTGTGTATATATCTAATGTTTCATCGGGTTTTAAAATATACCACAAGAATAAAATCTAAATAAGTGGAGAGATATATCAGAATTATGAATTGGAAGATTCAATTCTGTTAAATGTTAGTTCTTCCCAAATTGATCTATAGATTCAATACAATTCCAATTAAAAGCCCAGCAACCTATTTTTCTAGAAATTGGCAAACTAATGATAAAATTTGTATCAAAAAACAATAGCATAAAATAGTGAAAACGATTTTGTAGAAGAACACATTTGGCCTTGGCCGAATAGTTTAGTTAGTTGGAACCTTGACCCAATACACAAAGGTTGCAGGTTTGATCCCCAGTCAGAACACATACAAGAATCAACCAATGAATGCATAAATAAGTGGAACAATAAATCTTTCTTTCGCTCAAATTCAATTTTTAAAAATATATTTTTATTGATTTCATAGAGGAAGGGAGAGAGAGAGAAAGATAGAAACAACAATGATGAGAGAGAATCATTGATTGGTTGCTTCCTGCACGCCCCATACTGGGGATCGAGCCCACAACCTGGGCCTTTACCCTGACAGGAATTGAACTGTAACCTCCTGGACGTCCTGGTTCATAGGTCAATCAATGCTCAACCATTGAGTCACAATGGCCGGGCTCAAAACCAATTTTTAAAAATTAAAAACGAAAGAAAGGAAGGGAGGGAGGGAGGAAAAAAGGTAAAAATAAAAATAAAAAAGCCCAGACAGTGTGGTTCACGGTTCGATTGCCAGTCAGGGCACATGCCTAGGTTGTGGGCTTGATCCCAAATGTGGGGCATGCAGGAGGCAGCTGATCAATGATTCTCTCTCATCATTAATGTGTCTATCTCTCTCTCCCTTCCTCTGTGAAATCAATAAATATGCTTTTTTTAAAAAGTAAATAAGAATCTCAACCTATGTTGGGAGACAATTCTCCATGGGTCTCTCATGCATCTTCACATCTCAAAAGTTAGACATGAAACCAGATTGTAGGAGATAGAGAAGGGATGAAAAACAAGTAAAGTGATAAAAGTGTGTATAAGTCTAATGTTTCACCAGATTTTAAAATATACCACAAAAATAAGATCTAAATAATTGAAGAGATACATCAGAATTATGAATTGGAAGATTCAACTCCTTCTGTTCCAGACTGTCTTTCCAAGGATGTTTGTCCATGAAACAGTCTGGAGATAGTGTCTACCTTCAGAGCAAAGAGCTTTCTTTTTTTTTTTTTTTTTAATTGTTCAGATAAAAAGATAATGTATTGTTCTGTTTGCAGTCCTTTATAAAAGTCTGGCGTTCCCTGAGCTTGGAGTTGCTGAGCTGTGGTCCAAACCCTCTCTGTGTGCCTGTTTGTACTTCACCCACCTGGGTCTCCTGGCACAGCCCCTGAGAGGCCTGGGGGAATGGGGAACCAAGGCAAACATGCAGCTCACAGCTGGCTGGGCTGCAATAAAGTTCTTTGTTTCCTTCTTAGGAGTCCTATGTCTCTTGTCAGCATCCAGTGAAATTGTGGCAGGGCAACTTGTTAACTTGCAAGTAGGATAAAATCTTATATCCTTTATTGCTCATGACAAACCATACCTTGCATTATATGCAAAAATTTACTTGAAATGAATCATAGACTAAATAAAAAACCAAAAACTTCCAGAAGAAAACAGGAAATCTTTATGTCATTGGGTTAGACAAAGATTTCTTATATAAGACTAAAAGGCATGACTCATAAAAGAAAAAAAAAAGAAACTGAATTTCATCAAAATAAAAACTTTGCTCTTCAAATGACACTTTGGGTTGTCAGGGCAGTAAGACTATTCTGTATGTAACTCTAATGGTGAATGCATGTCCTTATACATTTGTTAAAGCTCATAGGATGTACAACACCAAGAGTGAAAACTATGGTAAACTATGGACTTTGGATGATAATGATGTAACAAAATATACTGCGCTGGTGGGAGAAGTTGATAGTGGAGGTGGTGATGTATAGGGGAGAACATATGGAAACTCTCAATATTTTCCACTCAATTTTGCTGCATAAAATTTCTCTAAGAATAAAGTCCATTAAAAAAAACGGACAAGAGATCTGCCCTGGCCAGTGTGGCTTACTTGGTTAAGCATTGTCCCCTGCACCACGATTCAGTGTCAGGGCACATGCCCAGGCTGCAGGCTCAATTCCTGATGGGGAGTGTGCAAGAGGCAGCCAATCAATTATTGCTGATCAATATTTCTCTGTTTCTCTCTCCCTTTCTCTTCCTCTCTCTCTAAAATCAATTAAAACAATTAAAAAAGGGGGGGGGGGGCAAGAGAGCCTTAGCAGGTTTGGCTCAGTGGATGCAGTGTCAGCCTGAGGACTGAAGGGACCTGGGTTGGATTCCGGTCAAAGGCATGTGCCCACTAGGGGGCGTGCAGGAGGCAGCCAATCAATGATTCTCATCATTGATGTTTCTATCTCTCTCTCTCCCTAACTCTCTGAAATCAATTATATATATATATATATATATATATATATATATATATATATATATATTATATAGAATACCCAGTTGTGCACTTTTTTTTTTTTTAACAGAGAGGAAGGGAGAGAGAGAGCTAGAAACGTCGATGAGAGAGAAACATCGACCAGCTGCCTCTTGCACACCCCCTACTGGGGATGTGCCCGCAACCCAGGTACATGCCCTTTCAATTCGCAGACCGACGCTCTACCACTGAGCCAAACCGGTTTCGGCCACTTTTGGATTCTTATAACCTACACACATGTCTGAGAATGTTTGTATATAGGTACGTATGTATGCATCTATCCCATCATTATCAAAGATGGTGCTAAATAAGCTAGTTGCTGGATGACCCCTTAGCTTTTTCACGCCCCTGTGGCTCACATGGCTGTGTAGCTGCAGCTGCTGGTCACAGAGCCCAGGTTCCTGTTTGTGGGTCAGCCCTCCCACCTTAGAATCAGGCGACAAAGAATTTTATTCAGCAAACCCTTAGCAGCGTTAAGTTTGGTCAGTCACAGGTAGAATTAATTACCTAGGTCCTTGACTCTGAGAATCTGGTGATGGGCCTGGGAATGCGGTTTTAACAAGCCCCTCAGAAGATGTGATCTGCTCTCAGTTAGCCTGGCCCACTCTGGGCATCTATTCCCAATGGCTGTGGAGAAGCGGAGTCTGTCTTTGGCTTCACAGCCCTGCCCACTCTCTCCTTTTTCACAGGGTGAGAGCAGCATGCCTCCATATTGTTAACCGTAACTGAGATGTCACCGCATCTGGTGTTGGGTCTGCAGGGACAGTATACTCCTAAGACTGCCTGGTATTTCCATTCTGTATGCGGTTTCTGCCTGGGGGGTGGGGGAGGTATGCAGCTGATTTCTCATCAGAAGCAGCAGACAGCACATGGTTGACTCTGCCCCTGGCCCCTGCTCACAACACAGGACCTTCACTGGAGCCCTTAATCCTGGATTCTAGGGCGGTTCTGTACCCTATCCCACATCTTGAAGGGGATGATGGAAAAGCCTATCGGGTCAATAATCTCTCAAGGCTGATGTTGGCTCAAGTGATTTCCCTGGTACTGTCGTGGAATGCTGTCAGGGGTGGGAAATTCCCACTAGCAACGAAGCTCTCCTATCTCTCAGGAGGTCTGCTATGTGATCCTAGGGCAGACAGCGGAGTCATGCCAGCTCACCTGCTCATCTCCTCTGGACACATACATTCTGGCTCCTCCTCCCATCTTTTGGAAACACGCGTGTCCCTATTTTGGTTAAAATCCTTCAGTGGCTCCCCATCCCTCTGAGGACCTAGACCACAGCCTCTCCCGTGGCGTGCTGTCCTTGTGGGTCTCTGTGGCCCCGCCTCCTCCACTGTCCTCCAGTCTCGGACCTTGCCACACAGCTCTTGCTGTTCTCTTACCAGGCCAGGCTCTCTGCGGCCATGGCCTGCTCCTCTTTACGCAGTTGACGCCTGCTCCTCTCTCAGCGTCCAGCATCACTTCCTCGACCCCCCAGGTCTGGATCAGGCTCTTGCTCATTCATACTCCTAGCACTCTGGACCTCTTCCTTCCTTATTAAAATGTGTCACCGTTGGAAATGTTCACTGGAACCATTAGGCATTTCACCAATGGCTCCGTCGGTAGGTGATAGAGTTCATGAAAGCAGGGCTCTGGGTGTGCTCTCATTGCAAAGGGCCTGGCAGGCCGTTCACCGGATGAAGGAAGGCGGGTCACCCACCATCCGGGCGCGGCGTGGGGCCCCCGGGGAATCACAGACGGAGCCGGAGCAGCTGCCCAGACAAGTCCTCCCTCCGGACTGAGGAAATGCGTCCGCGAGCCGCACGCCCAGGGAGCCCTCAGGGCAAGGACACGGCCCACTGCCGGCCGGCATCCAGCGCCGAAGGAGAGAAAGCGACGCCTGATCTGTGCCTGGGGGCCTCCGTGTCCCTACCGGTTCCCCAAAGGCAAGGGGTCCACCGAGAGCCCAGGGCTGCGGAACCTGAGTCGCGGGGCCGGTGAGGCCGCCGCGCCCGGCGAGGGCGCTCCAGGCCGGGCCTCCGGCGCAGGCGCGCGCCGCGCGGGCCCCTCTAGCCGCCGGGGCGCGGCGCGGTGCGTGTCGGGAAGGCGGCGGGCGGGGCTGGCCCTCGGCGGCGGAGGGCGCCATGGTGGGTGGTGATGCCGCCTCAGCGGTGGAGGAGCTGGTGTCGGGGGTACGGCAGGCGACCGACTTCGCCGAGCAGTTCCGCTCCTACTCGGAGAGCGAGAAGCAATGGAAGGCCCGCATGGAGTTCATCCTGCGCCATCTGCCCGACTACCGCGACCCGCCGGACGGCGGCGGCTGCCTGGACCAGCTGCTGTCCCTCTCCATGGTCTGGGCCAACCACCTCTTCCTGGGTTGCAGGTGCGGTCCCCTGCCGGCTGGATGGCCCCGTCCCCGGCCTTCCGAACCGCAGCTCTGGCCCAGGCTGACCCCGCCCCCAACCTCCAACCGCACTGGCCAGGCCTACGTCTGTCCGATTCCCACCCTTGGCCTTGGAAAGATATGTATGGCCTCTCTGGGCCTCAGTTTCTTCATTTGGAAAATGAGTTGTGAAGATGACAGTATTGGCCCTAACCGGTTTGACTCGGTGGATAGAGCGTTGGCCTGCAGACTGACGGGTCTCAGGTTGGATTCCGGTCAAGGGCATGTACCTTGGTTGCAGGCACATCCTCAGTAGGGGGCGTGCAGGAGGCAGCTGATTGATATTTCTCTCTATTGATGTTTCTTACTCTCCCTTTCCTTTCCTCTCTGTAAAATATCAATAAAATATATATATTTTTTAAAAAAAGATTACAATATTGAAGGGTGAAAAGCACTTAGCACACAGGCTGCCATCTAGCAAGAGCTCAATACATGCTGGACTCTAACATTGCCTTGCTGTTTGTATTGCTACTATTAGCTCCAACCATCACCTTTACAGAGTGCATTTCAAGTCCATTAGCTCCTTTCACCCACATGGCAAATGCAGAGACGAAAACTGAGGCCCCCAATTTACTTATGAAGCTGAGAGACAGGAGGTGACATACTTAGGGCCTTGCAGCTTCTGGCAGGATGTAATCTGTGTCCCTCTATCTTCTTACTCCCCGATCTGCTTTACCCCGAGCCAGATTGCCTTTCCTCTTATGAAAGTCACAGAAGTCTTGCATCCCCCTCCCCGCAGCCATGAAGAAGGTGACAGGTCTTGAGGCTCCATCTCCTTTTATTTTAGCGTTTCCTGAAATTATGTTATGATAAAATGACAGCTTACTCCTGATTGCCTGACTCTTGTCACTTGGCCCTAAACCACTTGATTTTGCTTTCAGATAGTGGGGGTTATTAGAACAAGATTCGGGGAAGCAAATCTTGCCAGTTACACCATCTCTTTTCTCTGCCTTCTAGTCGCCCCTGGGAAATCCTGGTTAACAGGATCCAAGATTCAGCAAATGTCAGCAAGTTGGATAAATGAACAAATAATTTTATTTTCATTAGACCAACATTCCCTGTGTTCAAAAACTACAAAGTTTTTGGCTCTCGTTCCATATCCATGAATATGTACTGCCAGATGCACAGTGCCTCTATTTTTGTAAATGTTTTGCTTGTTTTGTAAATTTGTTTTGAAATACTTGCTCTATTGGCATTCCTAGAGCCACTTCTGTATTCCCAACAGGGAGAACTGTTAACTAACTTGCTGTTGAACATGTATTGATTTCCCCTGTAGTATCAAATCAGTCCTTGGTGAATTGAGTTTACAGTCCCTTTACCTGCAGTTTCTTGTTAGCCCCATACTGACAAGCAATATTTCCAAGGTTTTTAACCTTACTGCTTTTTATTGTGCAGTTACAACAAGGACCTTTTAGATAAGGTGATGGAAATGGCTGATGGGATTGAAGTGGAAGACCTGCCACAATTTACCACCAGAAGTGAGTTAATGAAAAAGGTAAACAGGCTTTCCAAGTGCATTTGAAATGGTATAAAGTTTATAGTGCTGTATTAGAATATATACTGTTTTCTGAATGGGGTGAACCTTTTACTTCCTAACTGCTTGTGGCAGATTCTCTCCTGGCTTGTTGCTCCTAAGAGGTATTCTGCCCTCCCTAAGACCTTTCACATCAATTTTCTTTTGTAATATACTCTCCTCTACTGTATGGAGCTGTATTTTGTCATGCCAGGCTATTAGAGATCAGACCACTTCATATTTGGGTTGCAGCCCCCAGGAGAGACTAAGGAAGTTTTGTAATTGACACGCACGTCCCTAACATTACCCATAGACCAGAGTGAAGTGTGTGTGTGTGTTGGGGGAAGGTCTCTCTAAACTGTTACACATTGTAAAGGAGCATCAAAAATGTAGGGAGCCGAGGCAGGTTTGGCTCAGTGGATAGAGCATCGGCCTGCGAACTGAAAGGTCCCGGGTTCGATTCCGGTTAAGGGCATGTACCTTGGTTGTGGGCACATCCCCAGTAGGGAGTGTGCAAGAGGCAGCTGATCGATGATTCTCTCTCATCGATGTTTTAACTCTCTATCCCTCTCTCTTCCTCTCTGTAAAAAATCAATAAAATATATATATTTTTAAAAATGTAGAGAGTGCTCTAACTGGTTTGGCTCAGTGGATAGACCATCAGCCTGCGGACTGAAGGGTTCCAAGTTTGATTCTGGCCAATGTACCTTGGTTGTGAGCACATCCCCAGTAGGGGGTGTGCCAGAGGCAGCTGATCAATGTTTCTAACTCTCTCCCTTCCTCTCTGTAAAAAACAATTTTTTTTTTTTTTAATGTAGGGAGCTCTGTCCTGGGATGTCCATTTTTTTAATGCTATCATTGCACACTGTTAGCCTCTAGTTAATATATAGTTCTCGGGCATGAACCTGGCACCCTAGAAACCAGCTTTGCTATCAAACTAATCCTTAGCATCTGGCTACCTGGAAGAAGCCTGCAGGGAGCCTATACTTCTGTAGCGTTTTTTGGATTATGCGTATTTCAATTTCCTTCAATACTTGTTTTTCTTTTTCTAAATATTTCTTAAAATTTTTTGTTGATTTCAGAGAGAAAGGGGGGTGGAGAGAGAGAGGGAGGGAGGGAAGGAGGCAGGGAGGGAGGGAGGGAAACATCAGTGATGAGAATCATCAATCGGCTGCCTCCTCCTGCTCGCTTCCTACTGGGGATGGAGCCTGCAACCCCGGCATGTGTGCCTAACAGCCTTGCTGCTGAAGCTGTCCCCTCTCCATCGAGGGCCACCTTGAGAGTCCACTGGAAAGAGCCTTCGGGACTTTTTTCTCTTCCCTGAGGTGTTTGCATGTAATAGAGACTGGCAAACCTTTAGCAACATTGCCAGCCCAGAACAAAAGAAAACATTGATGTTGAGCCGTGCACCTGAACACATCTGTTGTAGTTCTGCCCACAACTGACCCCTACCTCTAAAATTAGAGTTTAGTTGAGTCTTAAAGCTAGCTAGCAGGTGGAAAGGAATAGCCTGGCATTGTTATCCTAGGACTTAGTGAAGATGACTTATGGACATAGCTCTTTAAAGTAAGATTTTAAAAACACTTATGGTCCTGGCCGGTTTTGCTCAATGGTAAGAGTGTCTGGTCTACTGATGATACTTGTCAAACAGTTGCAATATATAATTTTTCTTTTGAAAGAGGAAGATTAAAACACAAATATATTGAGCAAGTAATCATTTAACAATCATCCCTAGGCACCTACTGGCAGCTTTGTGGTTGACCAGCTTTATCCATTCATAAGCAATAATTAACAAATGAGCAGCAGCTTACTCAGAAAGGGTGTCATTACTATGACTGTCAGGATTAATATTTCCAAATGCATTGTCTTAAGGAGAAAGAGGAGTGATTGACTAGGAAGCTGTCATTATTGACTAAAAGAAAGAATTTGTCATTGTAATTACTTGTCCATTTCCCCTGAAAACATTTTTATCCATGAGGGAAAATGGCAGAATGAAAGTGAAAAAGAAGTTAGAAAAATGAGTGTATCTGCTTTTCAAGAGGTTCTTTTTTTGTGCATTATGTACAGTCTTAGCAAGCTGTAGGGTAATGGAGCAGCCGCTTGGTGGAAGGAGGGAGATATGATTCTAAGGTGGTGAGTATTTGTGTGTGAATATATATATATATAATTTTTTTTTTTCCACACACACACACACACACACACACACACACACACACACTGTCAGATTAGTTAAATCAGTTTTGTCTTGCATCACCAAGATAAATGCTCAGTGGAGCTACCTTTTCCCCTTTATCTGCTACAAGAAGCCAGAAAAGCTCTGCCTGACCCCATAGGCCAGCCTGTTGTCTGGTACCAAGGATGAGTGGATCACATATCAACACTTTGTGTCAAAGACCAGACTTGCAGCAACCAAAGCCAATGGCAACTGTTATGGTGTTGTTGTCTTGGGCTTATCAGAAATCTGAGAGACAATTTAGAGAATAATCTCCTTCCCTTTGAAGTTAGTTTCTTTAGGTGATATTTCATTCTCCTAAAAGAAGAAAGACTTCTTATATTTTTTGTTTTTGCTGAGGAATTTTGCTGCTTTTAAGTTACTCAAAAAGACTGATACGATAGGCTTAGCTAGGATATAGGTCATACCTTGAAAACTCTGATTACTAAAAAGACACTCTTAGATTGATTCATTCACACTGCTAAATGTTAAGGAAATCCATTCAAATACAGGGTGACAGCCAAAATGATTTCTTCACACCTGCTTAAAAGTTATCTATAGCCATGTTAAAATTTACCAAAGGTGCTAGAGAGTACCCAGAAATAATGTCTGCTTCATTTCGCCATTATTTCAAGACAATTTCTAATAGTGTGAAATCCAGAAATACATAACCTTAACCTTCACATTTCCTAAATATCCTGACTAAATATGGAATGTTGTGAATTACTATCTGGATTTAGCAGATTTTAAATGTAGAACAATAAGTGTTTATGTGATTCTGCTTTTAGAGCCTTTCATTGCAACGCATGCCAGGAAAAAAAAGTTATATTTTAAGTATTTCCATTATCACATTAAATTGTGAACATTTACAGATCACAAATGACAAAATAAAATTAGGTTCTGGCTTCCAAATGGATGGTATGGTCATAGTTCTGAATTTTTTTGTGTGTAGTAAAATATTAATAATTTGAGTCTACTTACTATCTGGGTAGTACATAAATATTGCATCACTGCTATATTTTATGAATCTGATTCACTGGACTACATAACTACATAACCTTTTCCTTTTTTCCCCCCAGCGTCAAAGCTAAGACAGAAGATCCATCACATTTTCATTATCAGCTGCAGGCTAGAAAGGAGGAATGTGGCTTTGACCACAGAAGCTCTCTTACGACTCCTGATATTACCAGCATGTAGGAAAGAGGCAGTTGGGATGAAAGTGGTATTTTAAAAGGTCTCATCTCCCAGTAGCTATCATTGTAAAAGTATGCATGGATATTTATGTATTTATAAATCATGCTTTTTTATTTTGTTCTTGAATATCAAATTCTTTGTTATAATGCATATTTTTCTATGTTGATGTAATAATGGCAGGTAATGGATTTTACACTTTGGATTTCTCAACAATGTACCTTTGAGAGTGATTCTGGTCTTATGGTCCTTTTTTCCCCCTCACAAACCAGACCTTTACTTCCTATTCCTATCTGAAGTTTACACCATCCGTATACTCCACTGTCACACACACTCATCTTTTTTAAAGAGATAAGAGAATCAAACCATAGGTTTTAAGTACCCATCAGCTCATGGGAAGAGGCAGCCTACAAAAGAGCATCTAATCTTAATTTTAAAACTGACAAGATTCCAAAGTTGAGTCCAGGTAGCCAGTTGATCTATAGATTCTCTAGGTTTCCCAGCTGCTGAGTAAAGGCCACACTTTTTTTTCTGGAGGGAGCCTTATGCTCTTATCTTCTACTAGACTTGAGGAATTGCCAAGCACAAATAAATTCTTTATTGCAGTGCTGCTCTGCACTGAAATTTTGTTATTAATTTCTCCCTTTTAATTAATGTATCTATTCTTTATCCCTCTCCTGTTCCTTTTTCCTATTTAGTATCCACCATTAAGTATTTATTCTAAGCATAAATACTGAGAGAGGGGCATCATTTAGGAGACAGCAGTGTAATAGCCAATCACAGCAGGATTCACTCATTAGGGTGCTTGGTCCTGAGAATAGTAGTAAATAAGACAGTGGATCCTGCTTTAGCATAACCTACTGAAAAACCCTGGTACTTGAACAACCAGAAGCGCTAACGAGAGCGGACTGTGGGACCATGGTGTCTGGTGGCAGAGAAATGGGATGACCCTTGCCATGGCTTAAGGCCAGGCAGCACTCCTTGGATGGGAGTCATCTTTGTGCAACTTTGAGCTCATCTCTAGTAACCACTAGAGTGGACCAGTTGGAAGAAATGATCTCTGATCTTTAACTCTGGAAAAGCCACTTCTCTTCCCCAGCCTTATCTGAAAAAATGGAGATAATAGAAATTACTACCAGAGCTATGGCAAGGATTAAGATGGAGGGCCAAGCACATGCTTAATAAGCCTTAACCTCTTCTTTTCCTTAAATGTAGCCTAGTCTCTCTCGTTCTGATTTGCACAAATTTGTGAGGCTTAAGGAAATCTAATTATAAAGTGGGAAAATCAGAGTGTGGTTATCACTTTTTAAAACTGTCTTTGTTGATTTTGAAGAAGGGAAAGGAGAGAGAAATATCAATTGGCTGCCACCTGCACACCCCCTACTGGAGCTCGAATCCACAACCTGAGCTTGTGCCCTGACTGGTAATCGAACCTGATGACCTCACGGTGCACAGGATGACACTCAGCCAACTGAGCCACACCAGCCAGGGCTGATTATTCACTTTTAAAATGCATTTTCCTTGGGTTTTTCATGATGGATTCTTTTTTCTGTAAAAGATATAATGTCTCAATAAATTAATAATATCCATCAGGAATATATCTTGCATACAGCAAGCTTAAGTTGTGTACTGACTGATAAACTTCTCCACCCCATCCCCATCAGTTTATTTTTGAAGACTTCTCTAGTTAACCAAAATCAAATTTTCTAATACCATTTTGCATGTTTTTCATTATTTCACTTTAAGCAACTTCTTTTTCTTCTCGTCTTTATGACTTCCATCGCTATCTTACCTATAAAATTAAATAAGATTTTATAATTTTATCCTCATATTTTTCTGGTATTGGAATCGTCTTTTGCATCACAGCACTCCTGTGGTGTAGGTAAAATGGTCCACTCTTAGCTTTCAAACAGGAGCTCGCACCAGGTATAAGCTACGAGATATTGGCTTCTTCATATTTATATATAGTCTTCCCCTAGACGGGGTGAGGGTCAAGTGATATCTTAGGAAGATACATAGTGTAATATTACATTCAAATAATGACTAAGAGGATCTTTTCTGTGAAAGACAAAAATCTCAATACCTTGTGAGAAGCACAAGGACAGTTTAGGGAGCTCAGTTAATAGTGATACCCTTTCATGTTATCCAGAAAATTGCTTTTGGAATCCTTGGAGTCTGTGGCCCACCTGATAAATCCTCTACCTTTGCAGGGGAAAGATTTCCTCTGAACTTTTCCAGGATCCACTTGGATCTGTGGCTTACCTATTCCACAGGCATTGGGAGGAATAACACTATCACCACCCTGATGCTTTGCTATCTGTAGTAGTAAATGAAAATACACTGTTGTATCTGAAATGAGGTTTATATTACCCCGTATGTCAAATAACAGTGTTTGCCCGCTGTCCAGCTCTAAATTCTCTGCTGGGTACTCATGTCTGAAAGGAGATTGTCAACTTCTAGGTCGGAGTTCTGTCATCTGGTCATTCTTGATCAGTTTAGGGACACCTTTTGGTTCTGTAGGAATAAAAGTAAACACAAATCTTTTTAAAAATATATATATTTTTATTGAGTTCAGAAAGGAAGGAAGAGGGAGAGGTAGAAACATCGATGATGAGAATCATTGATCTGCTGCCTCCTGCAAGCCTCCCACTGGGGACCAAGCTTGCAACCGGGCATGCGCCCTTGACCGGAATTGAACCTGGGACCCTTCAGTCCACCGGCTAACGCTCTACCTACTAAGCCAAACCAGCTAGGGCTAAAGTCAAATCTTAAGAGGCAAATGTTTTAGAAGTTAAGCGGAATTGTGTTCATAATGGATATTGTTTCATTCAACAAATAGAGTGCACACTAAAAAAGTTCTTTGTGCCCTAGTTGGCTTGGCTCAGTTAATAGAGTGTTGGCCTGTGGACTGAAGGGTCCCAGTTTTGATTCCCAGTCAGGGCACATGCCCAGGTTGCAGGCTCGATCCCAAGTGGGAGTTGTGCAGGAGGCAGCTAATCAATGATTCTCATCATTGATGTTTCTGTCTCTCGCTCTCTTCCTCTCTGGCCAATAAAAATATAGTAAGAAAAATTAAAATTCTCTGCTGTCATGGACACACACACAAATTCTTTGGTGGAGAAACAGAATCTCGTGGCTCGCTTTTCATTAAAATAGAGAGCAAGTGATAATGCCTGTTTATTTTTTATTTAAGTGAAAAGCAAAAAAAGTTTGTCCCTTCAAAGTCCTGACTCCCAGGGCTAGGACGGCAGTATTGACTGCCCTCTTCTGGTTTGGGCTTTCGCACAACGCCAGCCGTAAGGGCAGAGTCCTTTGTATGTGTTCCTGTGACGTGGAGGTGGGCTTGAAGCCTGGCCTTTGGATAAGAGGACCAGCTGAGGAGTTGGGGTAACCATCTGAACAGATGTCCTTGGAAATCACAGTGAAAACTGAAATTATTAAGCTCCCATTTGAAGGAGTTAATTATCTGTTTTAGATCATGTGAACCAGAGCTTCTTTCCAATGGTGCTGTCAGAAAAGGATGCCTCTTTAAAATGTAACGCTAGTACTAGTTGTAGCCCAAGCCCCATCTTTCCTTCTCTGCTTAGGAAAAGTAGGCTAATGAACCAAAAATATCCTTGACTATGGCCCTCCAACCTATTTGCTTGACAGGAAGATGCAGTTATGGGCCTAAGGCAAGTCTTGGTACTCTGCTGGTTTAGTGAAGGGTAGTAAGGTCAACCTTGAACTGTGTGAGCTGAAAGTCTTTGCTTTGATGTGAATGCTAACACCAAAATCTCATCCTCTAGGGCTGCATTTTCCTTTCCCTTTGACATTTTTTTTTTTATTAACTGAACCTCATAGATAAGAATTAGGAGATGCTTCTGAAGTTATTTCACTTCAGGGTAGCGATCAGCAAAGTGGGGCTGATCCTTTAATCTTTATTGAAGGATTCAGTGGAAAAACTGTCTGTGAAAGCACCTAGCACTTAGTGAACTCTCACTTCATTCCTGCCCTGTTTTACCTTTGAGGCCAACCTGGGAATATATGAAATGTCTCAACTAACTTACATATACATGAAAAGAAAAAATGAGCACCCACAATTACCCCATTGGACCAGGTTCCATACCCAGGGCTACAGAAGGGCATGCTTTTTCTATTCAAATTGTGGAGCTGTCAACTGGCCCATGCTCTACCCCTGGCCCCGGTCAGAGCTGCTGGTCCAACCTGGTATGCCCAGCCACAGGTCACAGGACCATGCTGCATGTGCGCTGCCAGGGGTTTCTAAGGCGTCATCCTGTCTTGGGTGCCGGGGTCACACTGTGAATTGCATGCCAGAGGGCTCTGGGCCATCACAGGAAGTTGCACACCAGACAAACTATGCACACGCCCCTGCCCACCGTGAGAATTTGGACAACTGAGGGACCCGAGCCAGCGGAGAGAGGTACAACTCAGCAGACAATAAAAGTGTGCAACTCAAGGCAGACCCAGCGTTTGGTCTAGCAAGTGCCAGATCATTGCACCACTAGGGGCTTCAACCCCTTGGGTCTCAAGCAGGGAGCCCAGGGCCAGAAAGAGAGCAAAAATGTGGAGACAAACCCCATTTAGGGAAACCCCCAAAGGAAAGGAGGAATCGCCCTTTAGAAAATAAACTAAATAAGAGGCAAGCAATATGTCAAGAGAATTCAGAGTAAGGGTTCTATACCTCCTAAACCGGCTGGATGAGAAAATGACCAACATATGTAAGAACCAAGGAGAAATTAAGTGATCCATATCACTCATGGTTTATGAGTGTATGGTTGAGGATATTGACTATGAGCAGCAAGAAGGGAAAAAGTACAGATGACCTCAATTGAGGGGTCATGGCTGGAAATGCTGATTAGAAAATCTGGTTTGCCGTGTTGAGGTTTAAGGATCTTTGAGACAATTTTTAAAAAGTAGTAGACTGTTCCCTAGCTATAATGCTGTCTATATTTTGCTTGGTAGTTGTTCATTAAATGCCACATATGAGTGAAATCATATGGTTTCTTTGTCTGGTGGTGGTGGTGGGGTGTGGTGTAGAGGTGAAGTAAAAAAGAAAAAGAAAAAAAAAGAGAGAGAACTCATGGATATGGACAACAGTGTGGTGATTTGGGAGGTCTGAGGGTTTGGGTGGAGAAGGAAGAGGCCATAAAGGATACATGTTGATGGAAAGAAAAAAGTCAGGTAGAAAAAAAAGAAAATGGAAAAAGAAAAATGTGAACCTGGATGATGAACCTATGGGAAGGACAATATATTTTCTAACTTCTTTTATTCCTGTTTCTATAATAAAAGGTAATAAAAATTTTTTTAAAAAGCTGTAGTGATGGTGTAGAGAAACTACTGAAAGAATGGCATATATTTCTGTATTCTTTTTGAAAGGATAGAGGAAAACTGTCAATTCCTTCAACATATCTTTGCTGTTTTATACTAGAATAACTGGTAAGTCATCTTTCCCCTTATTTGACAACAGCTGTTTTCCCTAACTACGTGGGAATTGAAGAGGGCACATCTTGGCACAAGGACCCAATCCTATGCACAACTTCATTTACCTTTAACAACTTCATTGACTTTTCTATTAACATACATAATCCCCACAACAGATTTCTTTGGGACTTTGCATTGCTGAATGCAATATAAAGAAATTGTAATAACCACCACCAAGACCTAAAAACTTGGTTTCTGCTCTTGAAACATGGAAGAATTCAGAGATCAAAATGCCTTAGATGTAATTAAATTGTGCAATAAGCCTGAGTTCTTTCTTTAAAAGAGTACTAAATTAATAAACTTAGGTGCCTTATTCATTAAGCACAAAAGATATTACTAAATAAGGTACCTTTGATAACTTTTTCCTCCTACTACCTTCACCTATATTAATAATTTTTAGATCAGTTCTAGAAGTTAATCCTATTAATGGATCTTATGTTTTAGGGGCTGTACAGATTAAGGATATTTCTAGGAAGGAAAAAAATTTTGGTCTATTGATATAGTCCTTTATAGCACAGAACTGAAAATATCCCTGTATAAAGACTTTATACTAGAAAAAGAGGTAGAAAATGGTGGTCAGGAAAACCTTTGCATTGGACAGATACCAATCTGTACATACCTCTAAATCAACCATCAACAAAAGTATTTTCTTAAATTGGGATGGAATATTTAAATTCAAATCCCAACTCTATCACTAGCTAGTTAGTTGATCTAGAGCTAGTCAATCTCTTTGTACCTAGTTTGCTAATCTTTGATACTTACACCTCAGGATTACTGACTCTGAGATGCAAGTATGTCAGAATTCTTAGAATAGCATCTTGTAGAGTGTTATGTATTGTTAAAGAGGAATTTCATCACAAATGTATTTAAATTTAACATGAATCCACCTTCATACCTAAACAAATAATCCTAGCCTCCTGCCATACAAAATTTATAAAATTTGTGTTTAGTTTAAAAGTAAATTCTTTTTAATATGACTTAACCTTGTAAATTGAAGGTTTACATCTGATTCTCAACCAAAGAAATAGAAATCTGGCCTTTCTAGCAGTGACAACTTCCCCATGACATCCCTCTCCAAAAGGAAAAAACAAGAAAAATGCCTGGTACGGAGCCCAATTCCCACTTCATGGATGTGAAATGCCCAGGATGCTATAAAATCACCACCATCTTTAGCCATGCACAAACAGTAGTTAGCTGCTGCACTGTCCTCATTAGCATAAGCTGCTTCCTAAATTGAAAGAAAAAACTAGGAGTAATTCAGAGACCGTTCCCAAGAATTTTCTCCAATGGAAATGTAGACTAGGTGTGAGTTGTATGCACTGAATTTAGGAGTCAGAGTTGACTCCTTGCCAAGTAAGATATAATTTCTATATAAGGCTAACATGCAAAGTGTCCACTAGAGAGTTAGATCACTCGCTATGACATGCGCTGACCACCAAGGGGTGGTGCAAAACAAAGGAAGGCCCTGGCCTGCAACCTGAAGGAAGGCCCAAGCGAGCAGCAGGAAGGCCCTGATCAGCCCTGATAGCTAGCCATGCCTAGATACCCTACCCATGCACGTATTTTCTTCAATAATTTCCCTTATAATTTTCTATCGATACTTGAAATGTTTCAGTTTAAAATAGGTAAAGGAAAACAGGTTAAAGATAAAAATAGATTTCAAAGCAGTATCTAAATAATATGTTATGAAGTGAGATGGAAGACTCTCATTGCTACTGTGTGTTTATCAGTCACCTCCCTCACTAGAATAAATGTCTATTGAAAGTCTAATTTTCGAGCCGAATATAAAAGCATCCCACATTTAAAATGACCAAAAAGTATCTTAAAATAAAGTACCTTTCCCCCCTTTTTGGCCATTAATTCCAGTGAGTGAACTCTCCCTTATATCAAAATACTTTATAAAACCATACACTTACCCCCAAATTTGCCACTAATAACTTTAAAAGAAACGATCAGCACTTATCCTTCCAATGTTAAACTTTGTTTACTAAAAGCTATAGATATTGCCATCTTAGTCTTCTAATAGAGAAAAAGCTCTGAGCTTACTAAACTGGTAGGAATATAACAAGACAACTCTTGGGATTATTGAAATGGCCGTTTTAACTACTAGAAAGACTACACAGTGGTTCAACAGAATTTACTTCTATATTTTTCATTTTCTATCCTACCTGAAGGCATAGGATGGCTTTGTATTAGCTTTCTACAATACCGTGTTTTAAATGCATCCAGTAAACTAGATGCAGTACAACTTTTATACAATTTAGGAGATTAAAAAATGTTTGTCCTGCTCGTCCACTGCAACTAATTATTCATTGCTAATAGTGGGGGTACGGATGTTTGGTAAATGTTTATGGTTTTACTCTCTTTATTATCAAGACTTTTAAAGTGCTATCAAGCAGCAAGTAAGTTGCACCAGCTCTCTGCTCATTAAAGGTAAAGGTGCTAATTCCTCGTGGTAGAGGTGCAAATTGTGCAATCACAAGAGGTACAGTTTAACAGTAAGTAGAGCATGAAAAAACAGTAACAAGTGGCCTAAGTACAGAGTTGGACAGAACAAACCAATTTATAATTGCTCAATTGAAACCAATACAGTGCATTCAAAATAAAGTTTGAGATAAGTGTTTAGAATCAAATTTGAAGAATTTCTTGATAAAATATAAATCTGTTCTTTTGAAATTGGAATGAAACTATCAATTGATGGAGAGCTAGAGACTTATTAACCCCTCCTACATAGATACGGAAATAAGTGACAAAGTCTCTTGAAGTTATGTATTTTAACAGCTTTACATGTAATATTCATATATAAAAAACTTTAAGTGCTTTTCTCCAATTTAAAAATCTAAAGAATTCAAAAATAAGGCATTCAATATTTGAAAAAAGTACAGATTTACAAAATGTGTATATTCTGTCATGAAAACTCCACACCAACATTATACACTTGGAAAAAAATACAAACAGGATATATTACAAATTTATGTAAGCAATAACTTAGTTCACACCATGCAATAAAAAGTACATTAATCAAGATACACAAGCTTTTATAGGTTCTAAACTGAAGGACTTTTCTTCTTCTGCAGAATCCTTAAAACTGGTGGCACTTAAAATTTGTTAGCCTTTCTACTGAGAGGTAAGTTATACACAACAATGATGAAAAAGATTAACAGACCAGTTGTCTATTATGAATCATTCCAGCTTTGTTCAACAATGGCTGAAACTCTTTTCTCATATTCCCGTTTGTTTTCCTGATAAAGTTGTGCTGCCTGGCTATTAGCTGGACTGTTTGGATTGGGTTCATCCAGCAGAGACTAAAAGGAAAGAGAAAAAAAAAATTTGCAGAGTTGTTCTTTGCATTAACGGGTCAGATAAGGAGCACAAAAGTTATATAAAATGGCAGAAATTAGTATGTCATATATATTTTTACGTCTAAATACTTTTCAGATATGGCCTAATAAATACAGTGAGAAGATACCTACTGCTAGAGAAAAGCTTCTAAAACATCAATCTCAATGCCTTAAGACCTTTGGAATAAATTGGAAAAGAATATCTTCTTCAGCCTACTAACATTAAATAGGAAGCAAGTAGTTTGATTTGGTTAATATACAACACCTATAAATAGCTTAGCAACAAACCTTTTCCAACGTTAAGCTCTATTATTGTAGTTATTTGGCAAATGTCTTACTATAAGTTAGTTAATCTTGTTTCCTATAATCAATAAAACATATCTAGCTAGCAGCAAAGGGATGAATAGGAAGGTTAAAAGCAATGTTTATAAGATGACCCCAATGCCGAAGCCAGTTTGGCTCAGTGGTAGAGCGTTGGTCTGCGGTCTGAAAGGTCCCAGGTTCGATTCCAGTCAAGGGCATGTACCTTGCTTGCGGACACATCCCCAGTGGGGGGTGTGCAGGAGGCGGCTGGTCGATGTTTCTCTCTCATCGACATTTCTAGCTCTCTCTCTCTCTCTCCCCTTTCTCTGTTAAAAATCAATAAAATATACTAAAAAAAAAAAAAAAAAAAAAAAAAGATGACCCCATTTAAAGCAAAGTTTTAAAAACTCACAAACCAAAACATTACTTCTGCTCCTCTCAAATTCACATAACTAAAACATACCTCTTTCCCCCCATTCAGGAAACTATAATTCAAGGTCCACTGTGAAACATTCTGCCAGAGTGTTTGGCAAATAGTTACCATTCTGCCTGCCGGCCTCATTGCCCCTAACAGCCTCTGCCTCTGCCTCTGCCTCCACCTCAGCCCCCACCACTGTGGCTTTGTCCAGAAGGATATCTGGAGGATGTCCTGTCTAATTAGCATATTACCCTATTTCAGTATTGATAATTTCTTAGATGGGGCAGTATTCTCAATTCCCGGCACTTGGCAGGTTTTTGAGGTCCCTATGGTTTGTTTTTTTTTTTTCCAGCAATCATCTTTTTATTTTATTTTATTTATTTAATATATTTTATTGACTCTTTTTTACAGAGAGGAAGTGAGAAAGATAGAGTTAGAAACATTGATGAGAAACATCAATGAGTTGTCTCCTGCACACCCCTTATTGGAAATATGCCCGCAACCAAGGTACATGCCCCTGACCGGAATCGAACCTGAAACCCTTCAGTCTGCAGGCCGATGCCCTATCCACTGAGTCAAACCAGCCAGGGCAGCAATAATCTTTTATCTTTCCCCGAGATATTTTTATTCTTCTCCACAATCTCTGGCTATACTTCATGGGCACAAATAATACTTGGCCTGTGAAAACATTAACTTACACATAAACAGGAAAATAATTGTGGATTTGATCTAAGGTGGTCTCAAATGAAAAAACAGACCAGTCATCTGAAAATCATAGGCTTTTCGTCTGAGCTTTGCCACCTCAGTGTTGGGAAAGTTAGTTTGCTCACTTGGTCTTTAGATTATGCCTAAAAGAGCTGATTGGATACCACAGAGTCTTGAAAAATTATGATGCATCTTAATATACACTTACCTGAATTGAGGTTAAAATAGAAGATACATCATATGTTGGACTCCATCGATTCTGAAGGATATCTAAACATATGCTACCATCAGCATACACTGCAAAGACAACACTAAAACTGGTTACATATTAACTTTGTCATAACTATTAAGAGAAATCTTTACCACAAATAGAATGCTTGGCCCAGACAGAAGTTTTGAATATTAGGCAATAACTAAACTCCATTCTCACAGGAAAACCAGTCCTAAATAAGGTCTCTTATTTTGTACCTTCTCATGAGGAGGCTGGGTGGGAGTTAAAACTTTTGAACACTCCATACAGCAAATCTGTTTAAATTCCCTATTTCTAAATATTCTTAAATTAAGCTTTGAGGGTGGGGAGAGTATTTATTTAAAAAATATATTTTATTGATTTCAAAGAGGAAGGGAGAGAGAGAGAAAAGCATCAATGATGAGCGAGAATCATTGATCAGCTACCTCCGGCACACCCCACCCACACTGGGAATTGAGTCCATAACCCAGGCATGTGCCCAGACCAGTAATCGAACCTGGGACCCACCCTTCAGTCCAAAGGCTGACGCTCTAGCCACGGAACCACACCGGCTAGGGAAAGTTTATTTTTTAACACAGCAACTTCACTCCAAGAAATTACTCTAAAAGAAATAATCATGAACATACAAAGTTTTACTTATAGATGTTCACTATAACACTCTTTATAAGAGTGAAAAATTGGAGACTACCTTGTGGCCCATAAAGAGGGGACCTGCTAAATGCTACATTCAGCCGGGACCGGTTCGGCTCGGTGGATAGAGCGTCGGCTTGGGGACTGAAGGGTCCCGGGTTCGATTCCGGTCAAGGGCATGTACCTTGGTTGCGGGCATATCCCCAGTGGGGGGTGTGCAAGAGGCAGCTGATCAATGACTCTCTCTCATCGATGTTTCTAACTCTCTCTCTCTCTCCCTTCCACTCTGCATAAAATCAATAAAATATATTAAAAAAATAATTAAAAAAAAATGCTACATTCATATAACCATTACCACATTAGTCAACAGAAATGATACACATCTGCCCTATGTTAACTAATGTAGAAAGACATCTACAATACGTATATTACCTTAATACCGTAATTTTCCAATTATTTACACAGGATAACATAATTCCATTTATAGTAAAAAATTATAAATATCTTAATTTGAGGTATACACAGTTGCGATTCAATGTCAAAGTGAAACTTAAATATCTGTAGATAATAGGATTATGAAAGATCTTATTTTACCTTTTCTCGTATTTTTTGAATTGTTTTTGCAATGAGTATACATTCCTTTTATAATTAAAAAATAACAGTAATTAACAAATTTTAGAAGTCTTTAGAGAAAGCCAGATCACTTTATATAAAAACAATGCAGCTTTCTTTGGGGGGTAGGAGAGAGGGAGGAAGACGGGCAAAGTATACTTAAATGCTGTCATTCCACAGGGCTCTGTCCTCGCTTCTATCCTTCTTATCCATTACCATCCATTCTAAAACTCACCTTAAAAACAAGTCCATTTACTTACTATAAATCCAAAGCAACATCACATTTAGGAAACCCAGAGCAAGTATTATCACACCTCTGTAAATCCCATTGAAGTATAAAATGATTTATCATCATCACACCTTTGTAAATCCCATGGAAGTTTAAATGATTAAGTTTTGAACTAGTAACTATTTTTGAGAAGTAATCAAAAGTGAACAAGAAACCTAGGGACCGATGAATAAATAAAGTGTACTATATCCATACAATGGAATATCATTCATCATAAAAGAAAATGAAGCCCTAGCTGGTTTGGCTCAGTGGATCAAGCATCGTCCTGCAGACTGAAAGGTCCTGGGTTCACTTCCCAGTCAGGGCACATGCCTAGGTTTCAGGCTCAATCCCCAGTAAGAGGCATTGCAGGAGGCAGCCTATCAATGATCCTCTCTCATCATTGGTGCTTCTCTCTCTTTCTCCCTCTCCCTTCTCTTTGAAAAGCAATAAAAATATATTTTAAAAAGTAGAAAATGAAGTAATTATGTTACAACATAGACGAAACCCAAACACTAGCTTGCTTTGAAGTAAGTCACAAAGAACCAATTATATTACATGATTCAATTTATATAAAATCTCCAGAATAGGTAAATCTATAGAAACAAAAAATAAGTCTGTGGATTGCTAACAGCCATGGAATTTTTTGGGGAGAGTTATAAAAAAAGTTCTAAAATTGGCCCAGCCACATGGCTCAGTGGTTGAGCACTGACCTATGAACCAGGAGATCACAGTTCGATTTCCGCTCAAGGGCACATGCCTGGGTTGCAGTCTCCATTCCCAGTAGGGGGCATGCAGGAGGCAGTTAATCAATGATTCTCTCTCATCAATGATGTTTCTCTCTCTCCCTCTCCTTTCCTCTCTGAAATCAATAAAAATTATTAAAACAAACACTAAACTGTATATTTTAAATGGGTGAAGAGCATGGTACATGAATTATATTTCAATAAAAATGTTAATAAAGTAAACCAGGAAGTTAACAATAAAAAAGTACTGATCGCAGAAAAAAGGGAAATGATGCTATTAATATTAAATGATCAAAAATAATAATATAGTTTCCCCATAAGCCTATTAATCCTATACTCATAAACATATACTCCCTGTATATTCTATAGTCTATTCCACCTTTATTTACAGAGCCCCCTTCTATAATTTGGGTTGATTCAATATAAAGTCTAAGCCAGGATAAAGCAACAGCAGAATAGTAAGCAACTTGGGAATTTCCCCAAAATAGAAACAAAAATTAAAATTAAACCTGTCTTAGCTTTAAAAGAAAAAAAACGGCAGCTGGAAGGAAAATGCAAAAGAAATTAAATCTATTATTGGGCAGTCACACTGGTTTAAGATACACAAACATAACACTCCTCTAAGTAGGGAGCTCCACTTGCCTATAGCCCACTCATGCAGTTTGCAGTACTAGACTAGATGCAATCAGAAAGACGTCTGAATATGTGCCTCCTGAAAAGAAGTTAACTGATGGGGAAGATCACATTGAAATGAGCAAAAGGTTACAAAAAGAGAGCTTAAATGTTTTGGAAAATAAGTCTTTCAGACAGTAATTTATAATCATAAAGTCAGGGAAGAACAAATTTAACTACAAAAGGGTCCCTCAGCAATCACTTATGAAAAATAATAAACTTCTCAAAGTGAAAACAGGAATGAGAAAAAAATGTAAAACTGTATTTTATTTTATTTTAATATATTTTATTGATTTTTAAAATATCAATAAAAAGGGAGAGAGATAGAGAGTTAGAAACATCGATGAGAGAGAGTCATTGATCAGCTGCCTCTTGCACACCCCGTACTGGGGATATGCCCGCAACCAAGGTACATGCCCTTGACCGGAATCGAACCCGGGACCCTTCAGTCCCCAAGCCGACACTCTATCCATTGAGCCAGACCGGTTTCGGCTAAAACTGTATTTTAAAAAGCCTTAAAAAAACACAAACCTTTGGTCCAATAATACCACTTCTAAAAACTTATTCTAAAGAAATATTAGGAGTAGTATTTGAGAAGATTTATTTTCAAGAACATAAAAAATGTTGAAAACCAACAACTGGACACTGATTAGGTAAGTTAAAACTCAGAACATTTTGTAGCCACTAAAATTGGTGTGGAAATATTTAATAAGGGAAAATGTTCATAGTATATAAAAAATTAGGTACTTAAACTTTATTCAGAATATACCAATTTTGTAAAATCATTTATTTATATTTTTAAAAGCTAAATTTTAAGTGACAAATTCTTTTCAACACCTTTCACAGTTCTACAAATAGATATTATTTTAAAATCAGAAGTTATTAAAACAAAAACAAATTTATCTCAAATTTGGAACCTTGGTAAGATTTGTGACTAATACTGATTTGGAAACATCTGCAAGTGGGCCCTTAATGTGAGAACTATGGGGTAAGACCTAGAACGAAGAAAACAAGCCTTTTTCCTCTCCCTTTTATCATTTGCAAAGTCAAACAAAATTGTGACTTACCATTTGGATGAAACATTTTGGATAAAAACCTAACAGTTGGTGGTTTATTTGGATATTCTTCAGAAAATTCTATTACTAGTTTGAAAGTACCTAGATAGAAAACAAACCAAAGTAATTATAGTACAGACAAGCATAACTTTTAAATCTCTTCATCAATGAATTTTCAACCCATATTAGTTTTTGCACCACATAAAAATTCATGTGAATTTTGGCTCAGCATATGAAACATACTAATATACTTATGTCAGACTGGTATGGTAACACACAGTAATGGCAAGCATAGGAAACTAACACTTTCACATACTATTGGTGGGAATAACAACTGTTACATTTTAAAAAGGCAATTTAGTTCTAGCTACTAAATTTAAAATGCACATTTGGAGACATTATAGTTTAGAAGGGGGAGGATGCCCAGAGGATTTTTGAGAGTTGGTGATTACCACATAACAAAGGACTCAGATTGGAAACATGGGAGCTAATGTGAAAGGTCTGTTCTGTCCCATAAGAATCCCTTCACTTAAATATGCCAAGAATCAGTACTGGAAAGCATAAGTGTAACTACTATTGTTGGTTATAGATCAACACAGTATATTTTGGTCAGTCTATATCAGTATTTTTTGGTCAATAGAAGCATAGGCACTTTTTTAAATTATGCATTTTAACAAAGTAAATCTCTTCATAGTGAACAGAAAAGTTAAGAACTCTCAACTCTAATTCCAAATCCATTTCACAGAAATAACACTACTAGTGGTTTTAGGGTTGTTGTTTTTTTAGACTTCTTTTGTGTTTATTCACTATCCAAAGTCTTTTTATTTTGAGGATACTCACCTTAAAAGTGAGTAATTAGCCAAAACTGGTTTGGCTCAGTGGATAGAGCATCAGCCTGCGGACAGAAAGGTCCCAAGTTCGATTCAGGTCAAGGGCATGTATGTTGGTTGCAGGCACATCCCCAGTGGGGGGGTGTGCAAGAGGCAGCTGATTGATGATTCTCTCTCATTGATGTTTCTGACACTCTATCCCTCTCTCTTCCTCTCTGTGAAAAATCAATAAAAAATATACATATATATATATATATATATATATATATATATATATATATATATATATATAAAAAAGTGAGTAATTAGTGAGGTTCTCCAACTAAAACCCACTGGAAAAACTTATTCCTGAGTCAATGTAAGCTTAAACCATTCCAAGTGTCTCTACAAAGTTCTTTCCCTTATGTTATCAATGCTATTTTTTTAAATGCCAACTATAACTAAAAAATTAAAATTTAAAAATAATATACTAAAAAATATTTTAAAAATAATCTAAACAACAAAAACCTTAACCTCAATTCTAAGATCCTGGCTTCAGTTTACTAACCTAAGAGGCATGTATTTAGTAAATATTTTCTTTTTTATCTTCATCATATTTGATACTCCAATTCTACCTCTTTATAATTTTTTGTTTGGAAATTTGGAATTAGGGAGGCCAAAGATATAAGCAAAATAAAAGGTGGTATCTACTTCATATTTTGATATATTAATATAGGTACTATGAAATGTATAGTTAATTAGTGAAGATAACCTTATACATATGTATTTTTAAAGCTTACATTTTAATTCTCTTTAATTACAAAAATGTACTATGTAAAAATCTCAAGCAAACACAAATATGAAATAGCTATTTTTAAGTTCTCCCCCTATTATGGGATCTCTGGAGGGCCCCCCCCCCCTTTTTTTAAAAATATATTTTATTCATTTTTTACAGAGAGGAAAAGAGAGGGAGAGTTAGAAACATCAATGAGAGAGAATCATTGATCAGCTGCCTCCTGCACACCCCCTACTGGGGATGTGCCTGCAACCAAGGTACATGCCCTTGACCGGAATCGAACCTGGGACCCTTCAGACCGCAGGGTGACGCTCTATCCGCTGACCCAAACCGGTTTCGGCACCCCCCCCCCCTTTTTTTATTGACCTTCACTTGAAGTTATTTTTCCAATGAAATTTAGAATGGAAGAGACAATCACCTAATTATATAAATTAAAACACTGATGTGAGACAGACATACATCAATTGGTTGGTTGCCTCCCACACTGGCCCTGACCAGACTGGGGATCCAGCCTTGCAACAGAGGTACATGACCTTGGCCAAACCCCGACTGAAAGGGATCCTTCAGTCAGCAGGCTCTATCCACTGAGCTAAACCGGCTAGGGCTCAGGACCCTTTTTACGTTCTCATTCCACCAAGCTTCAATGTGAAGTCACTAATGTGAAGCTGGAAAGAGATGCATGCAATAGCATACCATTTTATGGTATCTACACCAAAAACAAAAAATAATTTCATTTTAAATATTAGCTCTCTAATAAGTTCCCAAAACTTTTAACAATCTGTTCTCACAAATCAGTATAAGCTGCCCCCAGTACACCACTGGCTGTAACTATCAATGTGTTATATTAGAATTATAACTCAGAAAAAATCTTAATATATATATCATTAAGAACTATAAATTCATTACACATTTAGCTAAGTAACATTTAATGAGAAAAAACAAGTATCTTCTCACCAAGTTAGTGAGAAGTGAAGTATTGTTTTACATATTTTGCAAATCTCTTTAATGACTGTCTTAACAGAAGACAGCTGGATTCTCTCTTCTTCTTCTGTATTCAATCTGTTGCAATATGCTGTTTTGGTTGAGGAACATGAAGATCAGGCATCACACAATTATGTAAATGAAAAGGAGTATTTTCATAGCCTTTTCAGATAACTAGGTATTTTTTTATATTACACCAAAGAAATGGTAAGTTTTTAAAGGTTAGTTGCAATGTAGAATCTGAAACCATATCTATGAAGTTTTATATCATTCACATTTGGAAAATATTGGTTCACTGTCCAGTTGCTCTCATTGACCTAACAGCTCACTCAGGTCACTTTTGAGAATATACCTGCCAAATACTCAAACCTAAATAATCAGTTTGTCAGTCATTCTTTCAAGTAAGAATGTTCCATGAAAAAAGCAGTTTGCCAAAACCGGTTTGGCTTAGTGGATAGAGCATCAGCCTGAGGACTGAGGGGTCCCAGGTTCAATGCCAGTCAAGGGCATGTACCTTGGTTGCAGGCACATCCCCAGTAGGAAGTGTGCAAGCAGCAGCTGATCGATGATTCTCTCTCATCGATGTTTCTCTCTATCCCTCTCTCTTCCTCTCTGTAAAAAATCAATAAAATATATTTAAAAAAAGAAAAAAAAGCAGTTCAAGTTGCAACTTAAGCAACTGCATAAGTGTTTTTCCTCCAGATAGTCATATTTGGTATACAAGAAAAGTGCTGTATACATACTTACCACTTCATCACACAGAATATTAAAAGGATGTATACTTAAGGGTCAGAATTTAATAATATTAATAATTTCCACTTTTTCACCAAGAGATTAAATGGCATTTTTTAAAATACAAGAAGTACCACTTAGTACAGAGGAGAAAGTCTTGTAAACTATGTATCAGTATTTAATTTTAATTTGACCTATTAACAATAGATCAAGTAGAAAATAGTTTTAAGTAGATACATTGGTGTTACAATTTCCTACTTTGTTGTTGATACTCCTCACCCAAGAATATTTTCCCACTGATTTTTAGGGAAAGTGGGAGATAAAGGGAAAGAGAAAAACATGGATGTGAGAGAAACACATCTATTGGTTGCCTCCTGCAAGAGTCCCGACCAGGGCCAGGCCCAGGGAGTCTGCAACCACGGTATGTGCTTCTGATCGAAATCAAACCCGGGACCCTTCAGTCTGCAGGCCGAGCCAAACCAATTAGGGCCTAATTTCCTATTTCTAAGAAACCTCTTAACACTGTAGAAAAAATAAGGAGAATGACTTACCATCTTCAAAGGGTGTGCCTTCTGGTCTGAAAACAAGAAGATTTCTGATTAAAACACGTTTTTCATTCTTTCATTCTGCTCTTTCCTGATTTTTCAAGAGTGGAAAGGATAAATGCAAATAAAAGGAGGGGCTCATCCTGACAATTCGTGGAGTTTTTAAGATAGTGTTAATTTAGTATCAACTTAGGCCTACATTTTTACCGATGTAGGCATAAAAGGTAACTTTTATTTTCTAAGTTTTCCTTTTAGGGTAGCTTTAAAAGAAAACAAACAAAAACAAAACAACAACAAAAAACACACATACAAAAATAAAAAACATGATTTTAGCACAAAAAGAACCCAGTTCCTAAATACTAACAAGTTATTTTGTAAATATGTGCATTCTTAAGAGAAAAGGTCCTATTTTAATTTAGTAAGATGGAAATCAATACCCTTTAGTTTAATCATGTTAACAAAGCAGCATGTTCTGCTTTTTAAAAAAATCCTCACCCAAGGATACAATGTTCATCAATCTTAGTGAGGAAGGGAGAAAAGACATACGCATTAATGTGAGAGAGGAACTTTGATTGACCGGGCCTTACAAGAGCCTTGACTGGGGATCAAACCTGAAACCTAGGTATGTACCCTGACTGGGAATCAAACCCAAACCTGTTATGTATTGGATGAGCTCTGACCCGCTCTGCCAGAGCAGGTGTGTTCTATTTTTCAACAGAGCGTTTCTAGTTCAAAATAGATAGATATAACTAAATCAAGAAAGCCAGTTTCTTTTGCTCAAATCTTTTCCTTGCCTATATACCCCAATTTCATTTTTCCTAAGCAGCAGCATGAAGTTTACTTGCAAGGCATATTCAGGTCTCAAAGAAATATGTTTACAGCCTGGATTTAAAATAATCACTTTAGAAGGAGAATTGCCTTCTTTTTCCCACTATTTTTTAAGGTAGACCCTTACTTGTAACTAATTCAGAGGCAACTCAGAATTATTTATGAAAAGATTCCCCTTTAAAATTAAAGTTTTAACACAAAATTCTAGTTTTTAAAAAAGAGTGAAATAAGAAAAAAGATAAATTCTGGGAAAACCAAAGAAAAGGCATAAGGAAATTTTAAAATAAAAAGCATGTATGCAATATATATGTAGAATGTAAGGCTTCATTCAGCTACAGGCATACTTATTGCACTTCACAGATATTGCCTTTTTTTTAATATATTTATTTTATTGATTTTTTTTTTACAGAGAGGAAGAGAGAGGGATAGAGTCAGAAACATCGATGAGAGAGAATCATCAATCAGCTGCCTCTTGCACACCCCCTACTGGGGATGTGCCCGCAACCAAGGTACATGCCCTTGACGGGATAAAACCTGGGACCTTTCAGTCCACAGGCCGACGCTCTATCTACTGAGACAAACCGGTTTCGGCATTGCCTTTTTTATTAATTAAAAGGAAGGACCTCTACCAGCCAAGAAAAAAAATTTTTCTTTATTGTGGTAGTCTGGAACCATACACACACTATATCTGAGGTATGCCTGTATTTTATATTGGGCTATGAAACATTTTTCATTTAAAATCTTGCCATTGTGTAAGTTCTCAATGATTTTTGTTCTTAGCCTTTTTATGGTTCCAATAGAATACAATATAAACACTTACTTAGCATATTTTGTATAAAATCATTCATTTATCTCTTCTCCTTTAGTTTCAAATGGTATTTTTATAAGGCAAAACCCAAAGTTATTATAAAATCTTATGTATTTTTAAAAATATATTTTCATTGATTTCAGAGAGGAAGGGAGAGAGAGAGATAGAAACACCAATGACAGAGAATCATTGGCTGCCTCCTGCACGCCCCCTAACGGGGATGAGCCAACAACCTGGGCATGTGTCCAGACTGGAATTGAACCCGGGACCCTTGAATCCACAGGCTGATGCTCTATCCACTGAGTAAAACAACTAGGGCTATAAAATCTCATGTATTAACACCAAAATGCAAATAAGTTTTATGTAACCGACAAAACTTTTATGGGAATGTTTTTTCTAATTTACCTTGCAGTTTCTGTAAGGTCCCCATTTCTCCTCAGTCTCTTTTCCTAGTTGCACGTTTTTAAAAACTCGCCCCGCCTATCAGTTGTTTTATCTTTCAACTTACCCAAATATAACTGCATTCCACTGCATGATGTTGTTTTCAGATGGTGCGCCACTGACACCCACAGGTGGGTCCTCTTGCAATCTAGAAATCCGTAGCAGTAATTTTAAAAGTTGAACATTTGGGCCACTAAGGCAGCCAAATAAAACACCTATAGACTCTATACTCTCTGCTTTAAGACACAAACAAAACCTATTTCCTTGCTCTTGTGCTGAGCTGGAATAAACCATCTCACAATAAGAAATAAAAAATTGCCCAGGTACATACTTATTAGATACTACTACAAATCACCTAAAATACTAAAGGACTTGGGAGTATCCCTCTTCAATTACCATCAAGATTAAGATATTTTTCAAGAACTAGTGTGTGTGTGTGTGTATAGAAAGATAGATAGATAGGTAAGACTGACTGCCCTCAACCAAAACTAAAAAACCTCAAGTGCAAAAATATTTGAACAGAACCATCAATTTTGCTGCTGTAATGCAGACTGTGTGAGTGCTAAGAATGGCTATTTGTGCAACATGGCCACCAAACCTCCTCCTCCTGAAAACAAAAAAACCCTTAGTGTGACCACTAAAGGACTGAAAACACTTGATTAAATTTCATTAGGAAAGTAGTTTCAGGCAGGAGAGCTACTTTATCCATTTGCTTCAATTAGCAATGGCTTTTAGAGTAATCAAAGATTGTTTGGTTTTCCGTCGATCCTCATTTTAAAGGCTCTGCACTAACACTAAAACTATCTGAGAACAGGAGACTCAATACAAAACTATCTTCCAACATTTGTCAGTCAAATTCTTGCAACCTGAAGACCCTTGGAAAACTACCAAAGGTAACCTGTATTCAATTCAGAATAAAGCAGAAAATCACAGCAAATCAGGGTAACAAGAGGCACGAACTGGAAGTTTTATTATTTGAATTTCACTCATCTGAATTTCAGCTAATTTGAAATTGCTGATTTTAAGCTTTTGAAGACGACTTTTACATGAAATAGGGCATCTCCTTTCAAAGACTCAGTAAAAAAATAAACGCTATACTCTCTCTCTATATGCAGTTCTTGTCATGTGGCACACTTTCAAATTAGTCCACATAAAAACAGTTATTTTAGTCAGCCTCAAGGAATGATGATGCTTGATGCCCACCAAAGGTAACCGGCTAAGTTACAAATAGATTCAATGATAAACTGGTCACAGCCCAAAACAATGGCTTCCAAAGTCTCACTAACGACTTTACAATGGCGAAGTTGAGAGGTCACTTCCTGAGTCGCTGATTTAAGTTTTTATACTATACACATTTCGTCTCAATCAGGGCAAAACAGAGGACTGCAATGCTAAGTTTTCTATTCCTTTTCCGCCACCATAGTTCAAGGTAAAAGGTAAACAACTGAAAAAAAAAAAAAAAAAGTCACTTCCTCCTCACCACCCCTTCCATCTCCTCACAAAACCCTACTTTACAGCAGGAGGCCCTGGGAGTATCGGGTTAGCGCCGGCCTGGGGAAGGCACTCTTCCAGACCTGGGAGACTATAGATAGGGCTTTCTACCCCAGGCCCCGGAGCGGAGTTCCAGAAGGTCCTGGCAGCCAGAGGTGCCAGCTCGAGTCCCAGGGCTAAGCCAGTTCTCAAGGTCCTTGCAGGCGGGCGGGGGAGGGAGGGTGCGGGGGGTTGGGGGGGGGGGGGAGAGTCAGGTTTCGGAGAATGGGGTTAACCACCTCCGGACCTCGCGGGGCAGACCCACCCTCTCTGCAGAAAGGGGGGGGGGGGGGGGCTGTGCTTTTCGCCTCCACCCTGCCCCTCCGAGCGGACCGCAGGCCCGCGGAACAAAGCTCATTGGTGGAGTCAGCGAGGAAGAAGCTCCCGCAAGGGTTCCCTTTTGGGGTGGAGAGAAGGGGTGCCGCAGGGTTCAGGGGCGGGGGTAAGGATTCAACGGCAGGCGACAAGTCAAGCAGCTGGCCCAAGCGGGCAGTGGGGAATCTGAGGTGTCCATAGCCTTTTTTTTTTTTTTTTTTTTTTACATTTGGGGAGGGAAGGGGTGTCGGAGTGAGAAAACAAGAATGAGGGAGTGTGGACGGCTTGGGGGTCGGGGGCAGAGTCAGAACTGGCTTTCGGTCGCTCCCCGGGGCCCACAGCCGGCCCTCTGAGACTCCCCAGAGGAAGGCGTCCCGGATCCCTGTCCGGTCCGGCCGGCCCGCAGCTGGGGGGAGGAGCCGCCGTCCGGGCGGAGGAGGGGAAGGGCCTTACCGCTTGAAATCCCGCATGAGCCTCCTCCGGGCGGGGGTCGACATGCTCCACAGCTGCCCCGCGGTCCGTCTGAAAGAAAAGAGTCCCGCGCGGCCCCCCCCACCCCCGGCACGGCGGCCGAATCACTGCGGGTCACCGCCACGGAGGCTGCACAAACAACCCGCAATGACGTCTCCCTCCGCCGCCTCCGGATCCCTCCGCCCTCCGCCGCTACCACGGCGCGAGGGGTGGGGGGAAGCGGGCGGGCACGCGGGGGAGCTCCTGCGGTGGCTTTTCAGCAAGGCCCTGCCATCTGGGCTCCCTGAGCTAACTGGAAAAGTAGTATTCTCTGGGCTCAGACGAGATAGTGTGGGCCAAGAGGCGACAAAACCGAAACATACCCTGCTGCGTCCCCTCCCGCTAGGTTAGATCCGGCTGAGTTGGGAGAGGGGGGCGCAGGCGGGGCTGGAGATTTCAGGCGCTGGAGGTGGAATGACGTAAGGTCACGTGACCCGCCGACGGAGGTTGTCAACAATCCGCCCCTGAGTGGGAGGTGGCGAGGTCTCTGGAACCACGTGCCCCTGTGACGTGATTAGAACTGGTAAAGTGGGAGCTGCGCCGGAGCTGAGCCTCGGCCAGGTATTTGAAGCAGGTGGTTAAACCGAACGGCTGGGCACGATACATCTTTATTCGTTTTCCAGGCATTGGGTCCCGTGAACAGAGAGGGCAATGGGAGTGGAAGAGGTTCTGGGGAAGCAAAGCATGTTTTGCCTAAGTCTCTTTGAAACAAAGCTAAAAAAATAATTTGGAATTAAAATCTCCTTTGGTTGGTTCAAAAGTTTGTCAAATTTAGTACATAAAATGATGGGACAACCATTTTTTTTTTTTATTGAAATATTGAATGCTGAGACCCATACAAAGTAAAATGCCCTGAACTACTTCCTTAGGGGCATTGCAGTGGGGTTTCCAGGGTTGGAAATTATGGGCAAAGGTAAAAGAACGGTGTAGATTCAGATCTGGGGAACGGATCATGGAGACATGAATGGGGATTTTATATCTACCCTGGATAACTCATTTCAGGTCTTCCACACTAGCTTTTTAGATGCAGATGTACCAGAAATGCTCCCCACAGCTTCAGGCAGGGCTGGGAGAGGGTAGGAGAGCAGCTCAAAGTTATTGACTCTGGTAGAGCACCCTGAACCTTTTCCTATATATTAGGGTAATTCTTCAGCCCAAACCAGAATGAGAGAGTAGGATGAGGGCCTTAGCATTGCCCCAAACTGCCCATAGTTCAATGGAACCAGAGAGAGTTAACTTTCTCCACTTTCCGGGTATCTCCTGGACAAAAAAAGGAGCCACATACTAAAACCAGCAAATTTAGGGGAGGCCTGCATGTCAAGTTTTACAATCTCAGAGACCTGAAGTAGCCATAGAGAAGGGTCTGAAATGAAAACTTCCTAAAAGGGAGCCATGGAAGGTAGTCATGTCCTAGGCCTATTGTCTTTTTGCATCTATGATAACATACCTTTTTGTCAGAGTAATCCCCTTTTTCCAGACCCCTGGGGCATAATCTCGCACCAGAGCTTGAGACCACTGAACCCCTCATTGTTATCTTTTCTCCACATACCATGATTATGTACTGTAAGTGTTCCATTATCCTGAACCCACCAATGTAAAAAAAGTATTTGAGTCTCTGATATACTTTTTATCCAATCTCGGAGATTTCCTCTATCTGAGTTCTATCTCCCTAATCACCAATGGATTTCATATAACCCCCTTACATTTTCTCCTTTGATTCTGATGAATAAAATAAATGGTAAAAGTTCCATTTTTCAGGAACATTTTCTCAATCTGAAGAGAAATTTTGTTTCCTGGCAATTGTCGGTTAGGCTCAAATAAACTCATAAAAATTCGGGACCTTCTTAAAACACCGCGGGACAAATTGTTAAAAATCGGAACTGTCCTGCCAAAAGCGGGACATCTGGTCACCTTACCATACTGTGACAGTATTAGAATAAACACTCATATGATTCAACCCAGTCTCTGTTTAATTGGATCAAGTAGTGATAGGCAGCCGGCATCCATTGGTCCCAGCCCAAAACCATTGGTTGTTCAGTTTCAAAACCATGACCTGATCAGCATGGCTCAGTGGTTGGATGTCGACCTATGAACCAGGAAGTCACTGCTCAATTCTTAGTCAGGGCACATGCCCAGGTTGCAGTCTCAGTCTCCAGTGGGGGACGTGCAGGAGGCAGCTGATCAATGATTCTCTCTCATCATTAATGTTTCTCTCTCCCTTTTTCTTCCTCTCTGAAATCAATAATATATTAAAAGAAAAAGATAACCATGACCACCTCTCCCTTCCCTCCCACTCTTCTCAATATAAATTTAGGCAGCATTGAAACGTTTCAGAAGCTTTAAAAATACCAATTCCTTTATCCTTTCTCATTTAAATTAGGGTCTCCGGTGGGGGGTCTTTTTAAAAGCTCACCAGATATAATTTTAATATGCATGGTGGGTGGAACCAACTGAACTAGAATTTATTGGATAATGGTATTTACTCATTTAGGGAAACAGTGAGATTTGGCCCTTTAACATTTAATTTTATTTTTACAGACAAAAATACGTGAAATCCCTAAGAAAGTGGGCACTAGTTCCAGTGATATCCTTGTTTTCCATTGGAGGCTGGAAGGCCAGCAGGACCTCATTCTAGTATTAAGCAATTAGGTAACAGCTTTCCTCCCCTATACCCTAGTTACTAGTATGTTAATCCACGTGTGCTAGAACATGTTGAAATATTTCCTATCCCAAAAAGGAAGTTTTACAGTTTTGACACACAGTTTTCTTAAAAAGGATAACTATGAGCTTAAAAAAAATAATTTTTAAGCGAATTGCAGAAACGTTCTTGATGTAAGAAGCATCTTTCCATTTTAAGGATGAAATGTGGACAACTGAACCCAAAATCGTCTATGAACTATTTACATAACTAGGTAACTTAGAAAACTACAATTACACTAGACTTGCTTTGAAGTCTCCTTTTTCAAAAAGTCTCTACTAAATGACACCAGCCATCCTTTTAGGACCCAGCAGAAGCGCAGGTGTTCTCTAGCCCGAGGACTCATGGGAGGCCGGTTGGACCAGCCTCCGCCGCGGTTCCTCTCTTCCAGAGTATTTGCCGTCATTCACGCCTCCGTCAAATTGCTGATGCACGCCCCTCCACCCCCTGATCTCCACCCTAAACCATCTTTGTGAGGAGAACCCAATTTGATCCCCACTTCCAGCCCTAAACGAGCTTCCACTCAGGGCACACATGGAACTTGTCTTTTCCGCTACCTCTCATTCCTCTTCCGGGTCAGGCCAGCCAGGCCTGGGTTCCGGTCTTGCGCACTAGGCTCCGAACGCGAGGCCGGCGGCCCCGTTGCCATGGGAGCGGGTGGTGGGGAGCCAGTGGGACTACGCGGGGCCGGACCTTCGGGGCTACAGAATGGGCTGAGGTGGTGGCGGCTGCCCGGACGAGGCCGTCTGCCGGTCGTGGGGTGCGACACCGATCCGGTACCCTAAGATATCTGCTTTGAGAAGTGGGCAGGGTCGAGGTTTTCTGGAGTTCCTGGAACTGGCCTGCGGGCCACTGCAGTATTGCGGTACCTCCTATTTGACGGGCATGACCGGAAGTGTGAGGGTAACCCTCCGCCCCGTGGATTGTGACGTGCAGTGAAGGAATCCTAATACTTAGTGTTGACGGGAATGACCGAGGCAGCAGGAGGCTCCTGAGGGCTGGAGCCCCACAAGTACACCTGACTGTCGGGCTGGCAGTTTCCAAAGACAAACGGTGTCTGTGGAAAAGATTCCTATTTTTTTCTGTTTCTGTATTTTAAAGTATGGGTTTATTGTGGAACTGCATTATCCAACTTCAATAAATATTATTAAAATGTTTAACATTTTCTTTATTTCTGTGAAGAAGCAGGGCTTAAGAATGGATAAGTATGAAACTCTTGGAAAAGTGGGAGAAGGAAGTTATGGAACAGTCATGAAGTGTAAACATAAGGATACCGGGCAGATAGTGGCCATTAAGATATTTTATGAGACACCAGAAAAATCTGTCAACAAAATTGCATCGAGAGAAATAAAGTTTCTAAAGGTTTGCTTCTTTTGCCTTAATTGCTCTTTAAATTGAGAGAGAAATAGTTATGGAAAAAAACTAAAGAATATATCGGTTAACACATGTATTAGGACAGGTGATAGAAAAACAAGTGTGATACCCTATCCGTAGTCGGCAAACTGCGGCTCGCGAGCCACATGTCGCTCTTTGGCCCCTTGAGTGTGGCTCTTCCACAAAATACCACGGCTTGGGCGAGTCTATTTTGAAGAAGTGGTGTTAGAAGGAGTTTAAGTTTAAAAAATTTGGCTCTCAAAAGAAATTTCAACCATTGTACTTGTTGATATTTGGCTCTGTTGACTAATGCATCTGCCGACCACTGCCCTACCTAATTGTCCACATTTTGTAATTTTATAGAGATACAAGATCTTATGTATACTATAACAAAAGTTATATCAAATATTGTGAAATAATTATTCTGAAATATCCAGATATATTATTCATAAAAATGTGTACTTTGTGCAAGACATTGTGCCAGATGCTAAGACTATAATGAGGTAAAAGACAGTACCTGCTCTTCAGGCCTTTTATTATTTAATCAGAGAGACAGGAGGACATATAATACTGAATAAAAAGTGGCTCATAAGAAGTGCCAAGTGATTAACACCAAGTCCTGTAGGGCAGTGATGGTTTCTTGGAAGAATTGGGACATGACTTTAGCTTTAAATGATGCATAGAATTTATGTAAGAGGGAGAAACTGTTGTATAATGCCATAGGTTAGTGGAACAGCATACGCTCAGAGAGGCTAAAGCAGGACAAAGATAAAGAGCAGAGTGGAACACGAGCCAGTTTGGCTCAGTGGATGGAGCCTCAGCCTGAAGACTGAAGGGTTCCACGCTTGATTCTGGTCAGGGCATGTACCTCGGTTGTAGCCTCCTGACCCTGGTTGGGGGCATGCGGGAGGCAACCAATCAATGTGTCTCTCTTACATTGGTGTTTCTCTTTCCCTCTCCCTTCCACTCTCTCTAAAAATCAATGGAAAAAATATCCTCTGGTAATATTTTTTTTAAAAAGGAGCAGAGTGGAATGGACAAAGAGCAAAGGCATTAGCCCTGTAGAATTTTCTGGACTGAAATAGAGGTAGACTTAGAGAGGTAAGTTGGATGTAGGTTTTTAAGTATTTAAAAAATATATCTATTTTTATTGATTTCAGAGAGGAAGGGAGAGGGAGAGATAAAACATCAATGATGAGAGAGAATCATTGATCGGCAGCCTCCTGCTTGCCCCGGGCATGTACCCTTGAACAGAATCAAACTTGGGACACTCTATCCACTGAGCCAAATCAGCCGCGGCAGTTTTTAAATCTTGTCTTTTGGGCTAAGGAGTTAAAATTTGAATTTGTGAAAGGACAAAGGTTTTCAATTTAGAGTAAAGAAACTATAAATACAAATGTGGCACTATTTTTTAGAAAAGATTGGAGGACTCCGAGAGTAACAATAGGGAGGCCTGTTATGTGAATTTAACTCAGGAATACTGGTGGATCTCATGAAGAACCCTACAGGATTATGGCAATTTGAATGGAAAATAAAGTTAAAACATGATATACTGCAAAAGAAGACACAAAGATTTCTTTGAGGTTCAGTGAGTACTGCCATGGAAGTTTGAAACACCCCAAGAAACATAGTTTGGGAGCTAGTTCAGTTTTAGAAATTTGTTGAATTTGTCCCAGTCAGTTTGGCTCAGTGGAGAGAGCAGCAACCTGCAGACTTAAGGGACCCGGGTTCTTTTCCAGTCAAGGGCACATTCCTTGGTTGAAGGTTTGATCCATTCAGGGCACTTTCGGAAGGCGATCAATCTATGTGGATCTCTCATATTGATGTTTCTCTTTCTCTGTTTCTCCCCCTCTCTTCCACTCTCTCTTAAAAATCAATGGGGAAAATATCCTCAGGTGAGGATCAACACAAAACAGAAAGAAATATTGTATTTAAAGTGACAGGAGTACATTTAAGTAAAGTTGGCCAGTGGGCTCTTAGAGATGGGGAACGATATCAGGAGAGATCAGGGCAGAAGATAGGATAACAGGTGAGCCTAGGGAAAGTACTCCTGAGTGTAAAGAAAAGAGCATTAAGACCCCTTGGTGCTTGTGTACAAAACTAGTGATTTAAGTATATATGTATTTTATAAATTAGAATTTATCTAGATGCTTTAAGGTTTATGACTTTGACAACGTAGTCTAAATGTTTTGTTTAATGAAGAAAACAGATACTCTGTTTACTCATTTTATCTGACACAAAAGTAATATTATTCTATTTCTTTGTAAGTGTATATTAGGTATGGTGGATCAATTAAAAATAGAAGGAATATATTAGGTGTCTGTGTATTGTTGGAACTGTTCTATTTCTTGACAATGAAAAGGAAAGTTAAAGTCAGTAAAGATGTTATAATTTTGTGTAAGATACCAGTCCTTATTCTGATGACCCAAAACATAATAATACTGTAAGGCAACTATTATGCACTGTAAGTGAGTAATCTGATTAGAAGAAGACCTTTTCCCAGGTAATACCTTTCACTCTTTCTATTGCATTTAAGCTGATTGTTTTTTCTACTTAGTAATTTTTAAAAGTCAATAATGTCATGACAAGAGCACAGGGATGAATTTGAATGTTATAGCTATTACAAATATTATGCAAACTATTTTGAAACAGCTTAACTATTTGTATTGGTTTATTTCTTATAGAATTTTTAATTTAACCTAATTCTACAAGAGATATTTCTTGGATTAGATAACAATTCCTAGTTTAAAAAGATAGTCATAATGACTTAATTTGAACTAAATTTTTATCTTTTAGAATTTCACTAAATGACAGTAATTAGTGAAAATATCTGTATAAAAGTTGTCTAGTAATGAAGGAAAATAAACAGCTTGAAAAGGGGTAAGGGCTCATTTCTAGGGGTTTCATGATTTATTTGAGAGTGTACCTAATTCCTCATCCCTGGGGATCTTCCCTAATGATTATTAATTTCCATTAACCCTTCGCTGCTTTTGCCTTTAAAATAAAGACTGGATAGAAAACCCATAATTTTCCTTAGTTGAAAGATTAATGTCCAAAAGCAGTCATTTCTTTTTGCTACTGCCAGCATGCTGTTGCAATAGCACTCTGGCATCTTGCTCACAAGGAAAATTGGGAGCAAAAGTAGGAAAGGCATCTGGCATTGTATTTTGACATGTTTTTCTATTAGTCACATTTTAAGGTCTGGTTTACATATTAATACAGGTAAGCAGAGAAATTGCTAATATCCCCTCAGAACAAAGGCAAATAATTTTTATAAAGTATATTTTTCTAATTAATCTAACATTTATTTTAGCCAAATAAATATTTTTGGTCATTTGAAAAAGTTAAATATCTCAGAGTTTATTGTAATTAAGTCAATGTGTTACAAAATAGAATAAGCAGCATAAAATATTAAAATGTCATTCCTTTTTTAAGTTCATGCATACCATTTTTTATATTTTAAAATTATTATACCAGTCTAAAAAGATGTCTTATTGCTTAATAGAATAATAGACTATTATTTTATTCAACTAGAATAGCATAATGCTTAATGGGCTAGAACAAAAATGTACACACAAATAATGGTATATTTATGTAACATCCTTATGGCTATAAATAGGTATTTCACATATCTGACAGTTTCTAGATATTCTGATACTCTTTTGTTACAGTGTGATTAGTTTATAATGTCCCTCCTGGAACTTAGATTTTACTCTCAAGAATTTAGGATCAAACTCAAAGAATAATTTATACACATTCAGATCACATACTCAGTAGCATTGAACACAATGCTCATTTGAAAATATAGGGACCTTTTAAATTTCAGATGTTAAATTTAACCATAAATCAAGTTAAAAGATAGAGATATCTCTTAGCAGCATACCAAGTTGCGTTATAATACATTAAATTATTTTATTAAAAATCAAGCAAATGTTACTTTGAAGTAAAGCTATACATTTCCCTTTGTTCTATAAATATTATGAAATAGATTAACATTTTCTTAAAATAGGAATATAAGCAAATCATTTGGGAAGTTTCTGTTGAAATGCATGGAGAAAAGAAGCTGAGAATATTTCTGCTTCATTTAAAAATGATATAGTTGTTATATGTATAAATTATTGTGCATGAAATAATTTATTAAAATATGTTTCTTTGTCAATAGCAATTTCATCATGAAAACCTGGTCAATCTGATTGAAGTTATTAGACAGAAAAAGAAAATTCATTTGGTATTTGAATTTATTGATCACACTATATTAGATGAGTTACAACATTATTGTCATGGACTAGAGAGTAAACGACTTAGAAAATACCTCTTCCAAATCATTCGAGCAATTGAATATCTTCACAATAATAACGTAAGTGCTGCAGAATAAGCCAAACTATAAAATGTATATGAATGATAAGTGCCCTTTAAATATTGTTCTGTTTTGACTGTTGAACCTCAGAGGGAAGGCAGGGGAGTGTAGGTAGATAGAGATCAACCAATGAACTTCACTGAGCTTCATTTTCTTTATCTGTGAAATGACACGATAGTACCTCACAGGTTTTTTTGTAAAGATCAAATTAGGTAGTAGGTATAAAGTGTTTAGCACTGTATCAGAGTCAGGAATAGTCATGTTATCTGTAGTCCTATACTGCCTTGTAGACTTTAAAATGTTTTTTGAAAAAGGGAAAAAACAATATGGGCTAGACTGAGAGCAGAAGACTTCGAAGGAGAGCTAAAACTAATGTAAGTACAGTTTTGAACTGTAACTAAAAAAGAAAATATATTCAGATGAGAAATCACTATAATAGAGGAAAATCTGGGCAGGGGACATCAGAGAGTGGCAATAAGTGCACTTACAGAGATAGGAAAAGGGAGCTAAGATTGCACACAAGTACCCAGGCAAGAGGTTTGTCAGAGGCTTGAAATTCATCCTGAGGAGTTGTGGAAGTATTGTAAAAATAGATCAATGTAGTTGTATAGATGGTACCTTTAAGATGGCCCTAACATATTACCCTAGGTTAATTTTTTTGGCCATTTGTGGAGGAAGACGAAGGCAGAAGAGCCAACACCAAAGACATAGCAATTAAGTTATATAAACAAACAAAAATCCCAGATTTCTGTCACTGAGATGTCTTCACTTGTGCTATGATACTTTTCCAGTGATGAGAACACACATCATTGATTTGATAAAGTTTTAAAATGCCTTATTTGTTTTAAGCACTGTACTGGGCATGGTAATATAGCTTAAACAAGACATATATCTTGCCCTCATGGAGCTTACAAGTCTGGTGGGAGTTACAAATATTAATAAATAGGCAATTAATAATATAGCCTGACAAATATTGTAATGGGTAAGTGCAGAATGATGTGAGAACAAATGGAAGGAACATCTATATAAACATCACAAATGCATAGATTACACAAATCCTGGAAAACTGGGAAACTAATATTCTAGGGAAAGAACTTGTAGCCCTAGCCAGTTTGGCTCAGTGGATAGAGCATTGGCCTGCAGACTTGAAGGGTCTCAGGTTTGATTCTGGTCAAGGGCATATTCACAGGTTGCGGGCTCGCTCCCCAATCATTGATATTTTTATCTCTTCCTCTCCCTTCCTCTCTTAAATAACAAAAAAAAATTTAAAAAGAGGTTGTAGAAAGTTGAGAAGGTGGGTAGGGTTCAAATCCTACAAGGCTTTATAAGCCATTTTAAGGAGTTACAAATTTGTCATGTGGGGTGGAGCATCCTTAAAAGATGTTAAACAGAGAAGTGACATAATCACACATGATTTTAAAGTAATTCTGTGACTTCATTGTGGATAGGGGATCAGAATGAATGCAGGGAGACTAATTAGTAGTGTAATTTTCAGTGAGAGAGCTGAGGGGACTTGAATTAGAGAGAGAGATGTAGGTAGGTTAAGAGTATATAGGAACTGAGGAAGAAAAATGGTTTCTGGCTTGACCCATTTGCTTAGGGAAGTTAGTTCCCTTCACTAAGCAAAAGCAGTATTGAGAACAAATAGCTTTGGGGGCGATGGTGCATTTAGTTTTGGATTTGTTGAGTGGGACTTCTTATGGAATTCTACTCCTTGTGGAAACCAGGAGAGATATCTAGAAATAGAAATTAGACATAGAAAGTTGGAAATCACCAGTATATGGATAGTTAATAAAGTTATAAAAGTAGATGAGGTGGAGATGGAAAAGCCAGTAGTTGGGAAGAAGCCCAAGAGAGTATGGTGTCCCCATAACCAAGTGAAAAAAGTGCCCCCCCCAAAAAAAAGTAAATTAGATTTCCCAGGAAGCATGATGTATGAGAAGAGAAAACTGAAGATCAGAACCTGCATCTAAGGGATAGATAGAGAGAGAATTGGAAGAATTTAGGTCCTAGAAATCATGAATGAAGGTATGGTTGGCAACATTTTTACACTAAGATATAAAGTAAGATAATGTATTGAGGAGTATTGGTTGGACTAGCAACAATTAAGTTGTTTGATGCTGGCTCAGGCAGTTTAATGAAACATTTCAGCAGAAGACAGATTTCATTACTTTGCGTAGTAAATGATCATAAAGTGAAGAATGAGTAGAGATGATGTCAGCAAGAGATTTATTGTGAAGAAAATGAGAGAAATGGTAGTACTTGGGATGTGACATGGAGTTAAAGGAAAGTTAAACTTTTTTCAAGTTCTTTTGATTACTTTTCTTTTTAGGAATGTGATTTACCTTTTTAGTATTATACTTGTATTTTTTTATTTTTTTATTTTTTGCTCCCTGTCATTTTGAGATAATGTATGAGGCAAGAATTGAAAATGTATAACTTTAGCTTTTGCATTGTGTGGTTAATCCTTTGTATGGGGTAAGAAAATACCTTTACTGCCTTAATTAGCTAGATTTTCTCTGTATAATTTTTGAGAGCTTCTCTAGATAATGAAATCCCATTTTAATGTATTGCATCTTCTGTTTGTTTTTTAGATCATTCATCGAGATATAAAACCTGAGAATATTTTAGTATCCCAGACAGGAATTATTAAACTCTGTGATTTCGGATTTGCACGAACGCTAGCAGCTCCTGGGGATATTTATACTGACTATGTAGCCACACGCTGGTATAGAGCTCCAGAATTAGTATTAAAAGATACCTCTTATGGAAAGTATGTATATCTTAGTATCTTGCCTGGCCTTTCCCATTCACCTTTTTCTTTTTTTAACTGTGGTGAATTTGTCATCCCTACTACTGACACCCTCAGCCTTCTGCATCTGAGTTGGATTTAAGAAAGGGATACCTCTACATAGAACAGAGAGTTCTATAGGCACCTGCCATGCTGGCTATTGATGTTACCATGCTTGCCCTCTGGAGCTAAGTAGCCTAAACCCCAGAAGACCTATGCAGAATATCCCTCACACTATATCCTTGGCAGAGTTGTCTTATCTGCTTATGTTTAGCCTCCTCAGTATACAAAGGTTTTAGAATTATTTACCTCACTCTGCATGTGTTACTATAGGACCTGACAAGTGTCCTATTTTCTGGAATATGGCACTCCCTTTGCAAAGATTGACAAATAATACTTTTTAAAATTATATTGTTCTGGATGCCTCCAAAGGTAGCATGGTCTCAATTTATTGTGAAATAGTAGAAGCAGTACATGAAACAGCAATCTAATATACAAATAACGAATCTCAAAGTACATAAAGGGACCAAGTTGTACAACTAATACAACGAATGGAGAGGGATATTCTTGCATGCTTTTCCTAGAAACCATTATTCTATTCTGTTTTTATAGTAATATCTAATATATATACTTAAATCCTCACCTGAGGATATGTTTTTATTGATCTGAGAAAGAGAGAAGGGAAAGGAGTGGAGAGAGAGAAAAACATTGGTGGCTTGCCTCTTGTACATGCCTCAAATGGGTATCAAATCCACAACTTGGGTATGTGCTCTCACTGGGAATCGAACCTGTCACCTTTTGGTGTACAAGATGATGCTACAACCAACTGATCCACACTAGCCAGGGAAATAGTACCTAATATTAACGAGTACTTACTTTTTGCTAGAAACTGTTCTAAATGCTTTATATGCATTAAATAATTTAATTTTCATCATTCTGTGATGAAGGTGCTACTATTGTCCTCCTCATCCTATATAATAAAAAGCTAATATGCAAATGGTCATCATGCCCTCATGCCATCACACTGTGATGTCATGATTCATCACCAGGAGTCTGTGTGCATAGCAGGTACACACAGGTGGATGGAGATTTGATGTTGCGTGTGTCATGCAGAGGAGGTGGGATCCCCAGCTACGGCCTACCTCTCTAGAGAAGTCCATCGAGAAGCCCCTGATAGGTGGGTAGGGCCTACCACTTTGGAGCGATCAATTACGGGGCTCCCGCACTGTGAGAGGGCACAGGCCAGGCTGGGGAACCTCGCCCACAGTGGGCGAATTTCGTGCACCAGGCCTCTAGCTTTATATAAGAGGACACTGAAGCACAGAAAGGTAAACTAATTTACCTGAAGTCACTCCAAAGTACCTTTTCTACTGTATTTATCACTGATGCCTTACTCAAACTATCTCTCTGCTTCAATTACTTTATCTGTATATTGCAAATAGTAACAGGATCAGCTTCATGGAATTGTTCTGAGGTTTAAATGACTTAATGAATAAAAAACAATAAATATAGTAAATTCTCAATGAATGTAGCTCCATCAAATCTATGTCCCAGTTTTATCCTCTCTTCATGATGTAGCTTAAATTCCTTTTGATACATCCCCATTCCTTATTCCTTGCCCCCAAATCATATCCCTGTCTAAACCTTCATGTACATTGTAAGTTTTGTGCCAGTTAATATTTAATGTGACCTAGTTCTACTCTTAATTATTGTTCTTTAAAATAAGTTTCTTGCAGATAAGAATAATCTCTGTACTTCACAGAGCCAGCATTGCTTCCGTGTACATGGCAAGTTTGGATTCTGTGAGGCTTCATTCACATTGTATTTAAAATAAATTTGTTCATGAGAGTTTTTTTTAAATCTTTTTATTGTAAAACAAAATACAGATATCAGAAAACTTCACACAACAAATGTATAGCTCTACCACTAGATCAAAGAATAAAATTTTGTTGGCCACCTCAGAAGACCCTCCATGGGCCCTATTCCAATTATAACATTTTCCCTTCCCCCCAAAGTAACCATGATATTGACTTTTATTTTAATCAGTTACTTTACATGTCTTTGTACTTTATACTTTTATCACCCAAAAGTATATTACTTAGTTTAATATAGTCTTTTTTTAATCCCTAACTGAGGACATGTTTTTATTAATTTAGAGAGAGAAGAAGGGAAAGAGAGAGAGAGAGAAACATTGATGTGAGAGAAAACATCAATTGGTTGCCTCCCATAAGTGCTGTGAACAGGGATGGAACCCGCAACCTACATATGTGCCCTGACTGGGAATTGAACCAGCAACCTTTTGGTGTATAGGACAATGCTCCAATCAACTGAGCCACTGGTCCAGTGGGATTTATTCCAGAAACATGTTTGTTTGTTTGTTTGTTTGTTTAAATAGAGTGAGAGAAACATTGATTTGTTGTTCTACTTATTTATGCATTCATTGGTTGCTTCTTGTATGTGCCTTCATTGGGGATTGAACCTGCAACATTGACCTTGATCAGGATGATGCTCTAACCAACTCAGCTACCCAGCCAGGGGAATCTAGTATTTTTTTATGTCAGTTTTTTTGAGATATGACTTGCATATCATAAAATTTACTCATTTAAAGTGTACAATTCAGTGATTTTAGTATAATTACAGACTTGTGCAACTATCACCACAATCAATTTTAGAACATTTTCATCGCCTCAAAAAGAAACCTTGTACCAATTAGCAGTCACTCCCCATTTCCTCCCAACCTTTCTAGGCCCTAGCAATCTACTTTCATTCTCTATGAACTTGCTTGGTCTAGACATTTAATATAAATGGAATTATGCAATACCTGGTCCTTTAAGACTTTTTTTTTCACTTTGCATAATGTTTTCAAGGTTCTTGTGTGTCATAGCATGTATCAGACTTAATTTCTTTAAGTCTTGATTACTGTAGCTTTACAGTAAGTTTCAAAATGAGATCTTGTCTCTCTTCTGACTTTGTTATTCTTCAACATTGTGTTGGCTATTCTAGGTCTATTGCCTTTCCATATAAATTTTATAATCAATTTATTGATATACACATTGGATTTTGATTGGGGTTGCATCGAATCTATAGAGCCAGTTGGGAAACATGGAATATCTCTCCATTTATTTATAACTTCTTTGATTTCTTTAATGAACTTGTTTTTTTCACTTGAGAGTTTATCTTAGAGATCATTTTATATTAGCACACATTTAGACCTCTATCATCCTTTTTAATAGCTGAATAATATTTCATTGTGTGGTTGTACAAAATTTTATATATCCATTTCTGTATGGATGGACATTTAGGTAGCTTTCAATATTTTCTACCACAAACAGTGTTGCTGTGAAATTTTATCATTTATCTTTGTGTACATATGCAAGTAAATTATTTTTTTAGCCACCGCTTTATTCCCAATAGCTAACCTACAGAATGTATATTTAAAGGTAGATTGCTAAAATAGAATTTGCAAATCCATTCAGTAAAATTTTTATTGAAAACTTCTATTTTTTCCAATGCATGAGAAATAATAAATCTTCTTTATGGATAAAGAACAAAAAAAGTAAGTTCTATGCAGTCAAATGCAGATGGGACTTATATTTTGGGCCAGGGGAGTCATGGCAGAAATGCAGGCCAGAGGATTGAGAGATGATTCCATAGAAAGTACTTCGACAGGGAACAGTTGTTTGTCCTGTAAAGAGATTGAACTCAATCACATTTTTAAACTCGTCATTTTAAATAATCTCAACTTGTCCATTCCCTAGCGTTGTTCTTTTTCCTTTATAGCTTGCCATGCAGTACCAGGAAGTGGATTTCCTGAGGAACTGAGTTAAGTTCCATCTCCTTTTCTTCTTATGCTATTGAGTCTTGCAACTGGCAGTGGAGGGAAGTAAAATAGACAGTGTCTGGTGCCTTATCCACCCCTCATATGTTCTATTTGAAGTTTAGTTGTGTGTGTTTTTTTGACTCATCAGTGGTAGGATATAAAATGTGGGTAAGTTATTACAGTTTTTAAAAAAAACATAATTTCCCCTTTACATTTGTTAACCCTGTTAGAAATAAGACAAGACCCAAACCAGGGGTCCTGGCAGAATTCAAAGGATACTCATGAGCCAGATAACTGCAGAAATAAAGATATTTGCCTTGCTATCAGGCTCACGAGTAAATTTTAAAGATAAATTTCTAGGAATAAAGTTATTTGGTCAAATATATATACATTTTTATCTTGGTAGCTTTTTCCAATTTTCCCTCCAAGAAATTGTGTAAGTTTATATTCCTAGAACAGTACATGGGAGTGTTTATTTTCCATAGCCTCACCAACAGTTATCAATCTTATAATTTTTAATCAGTTGTATCAGTAAAAAAAAATAGAGCTCATTGTAGTGTTTATTTATATCTCTTTCTGAATGTGACAAGATTTTTAGTTTTTACTTTTTAAATACAAGATAATTTTATTATCTAATTCTAATTCATAACCATTTATATACTAGTATATAAAAGCCCAGTGACTGGAATAGCAGAACAACCAGAATAACTAGATTGACTGGTAGCTATAGTACACTGTGGCAGCCAACCAGCCTGATCCGGGCCCAGATTGGCCCACCCCTGCCAGCCCGGCCCCCAATAGCCTCCCAATACCCCAATCAGGGGTGGGACCAGCCAGCAACTGCCTGTGGCCCCTCCCCGCTGCTGGCCTGGCCTGATGGGCCTCCCTTGGGGAGGACCAGCTGGACCCCACCCATGTACAAATTCATGCACCAGGCCTCTAGTTTATCATAATGTTATGTATAAGTATTTTAAACAATTTTAGAATTAGTTACTTTTTATCTGGACTGCTACATAACTTCTCATGCAGTTTAAATATAATCTATTTAGTGATATTAGTAAAATGTGATAATATTTAATGTATATACTAAAGTTGCCATATGCTATTACAGTGAATTTTTAAAGTGATACCACTTATCCACTCTTTTTTCTTTGTCCTTAACATTATTTTAAAAGTTGATTTTAGAAAAGATATCTTATGTATTTCTCTATGAAAAAGTGGTTGGTTCTTATCTGTTTCAGACCTGTGGATATCTGGGCTTTGGGCTGTATGATCATTGAGATGGCCACTGGAAATCCCTTTCTTCCTAGCAGCTCTGATTTGGATTTACTTCATAAAATTGTTTTAAAAGTAGGTAGGTAGATATTATTAATATGTACTGTTAAATGCCTAAAATAAGTACTTCCAGATCAAATTTGCTTGATTTTCAAATTTAGTTTTCTCACTATAAGAACCGGGAAGCATATTCTTTTGATAGATGCAACAGATGCATGCCTTGAGCTGATAAAAATAAAAAAAAATAAAAAAAAGAGTAGAAAATTCTCCTCTGTTATTACAAATAATATTTTTTGCCAGGATGCAAATAGGTTAGTACAATAGGAATCTTCTTCAATTTGTTAGAATATTGTTTAAAATTTTTGGCTTCTATAAAGATTTGCATATCTTGCTATGCCTGCATAGTTTAGTAGTTGAGCATCGATCCAATGAACCAGGAGGTTATGGTTTCTGGTCAGAGTACATGCCTAGGTTGTGGGTTCAGTCCCCAGTGTGGGCATGCAAGAGGCAGCTGATCATTCATGTTTCTATCTTTCTCTGAAATTTAAAATAAAGAAATAAATATTTGCATATTTAAGACTTTTAAATAATAGATTTAATTTAGATGCTTTTTAAAAGCACTTGGAGATAGAAAGTCAATTATTTGCTGAGAAAACTTTTTTTAACTATACTAGATAACCAAATAGCTAAATAACTTATTCAAAAATATATTTAATGAAACCTGAATTATTTGATTATCTGTTTGAACAACAAGCATTTTGATGGATATCCTTGCTCATGAATTTTTCAAAAATCTCTTATGTGTATGTATGTGTGTGTATATATATATATATATATATATATTTATGAATGAGGCAGCTGGATGAGCCCTTTTTGTGGTAGGGAAGCTATACATAAACATGTAATTACAAGATCATGAGAAAGGTTCTGTGAACAACTATAAAAACCATGAAATATGGATAAATATTGATTAAAGATATAGTTCAGAGCCTTAAAGCATCACACTTTTTTGTGTCATCTTTAATATACTGAGATTAATGTTAGAAGCAACCTTAGAGATGATGGGATCCATTTTGTCTTTTACAGATGAGGAAACCAAGGCAAAGAGAGGGAGGAGAGTTGCCCAAGGTCACAGAACTAGTTGCATAGCCAAACTGGTACTATCTAGAAATTAGCTCTCTCCACTCCTATTTATAGTTCTACTACTACTCTATAGCCTTGTTTTTTTCTTTGCAATATCTAAATAATTTTAATATGTTAGCTTTTCTGAGTAAGGCTTTTTTGATTAACAGTTGCTAGTTAATCCATTTAGATACTCATATGAAAATATGTAAAAGTTTGGATTTGTCTTTCCTGACAGCATTACATATTATGTATTTTATTTTGTAAAAAGAAAACTAACCTGGTCATTTTACTTTCTGTACTGTCTATGTGCTATCAACAGATTACTGGGGAAACTTTAACTTTTATGCTATATTCAGATAGTTCCTTGTTCAACTTAAAAACCACTGTAGCTTAGTGGTTTGAGTATTGGCCTGCGCACCAAAGGGTCTTGGGTTCAATGTGTGTAGTCAAAGGGACATGCCTGGGTTGCAGGTTCAATCCCTGGTTGAGGTGTGTGCAGGAGCAACCAATGTGTGTCTCTCACATTGATGATGCCTGTCTGTCTGTCTCTCTCCCCCTTCCTCTTTCTCTCTCTCTCCCCTTCCCTTCCTTACTCTTTCTAAAAATAAGTTGAAAAAATGTCCTCTGGTGAGGATTAACAAACAAAACAAAGCAAAGCAAAACAAAAAGTAAAATAATTAAAATAACATAATTGTTATTATCTCTTTTTAGTAACATAATAAAGAGCACATAGCAATTTGATTATTTTGATTTAGACTAATTCTGTGTTTTCTTATATATTTTTCTCTTTTTAGGCAATTTGACACCTCACTTGCAGAATTTCTTTTCCAAGAGTCCTATTTTTGCAGGGGTGGTCCTTCCTCAAGTTCAACACCCTAAGAATGCAAGAAAAAAATACCCAAAGCTAAATGGATTGTTAGCAGATATAGTTCATGTATGTTATGAGATTAAGGACTTGTTTCTGGGAAATTTGCATAAGTTATAATACAGTTTTAGGATATTACTTCAGTGAAATTCAAAAAGGATTCATAAAAGTAATGGTATCTGTTAAAAGTTACTATATTCCTGTCTTTGTGTTTAGCTCAGAGAAAATAAAATTCCTAGACTATTAGAACTGAAAGCCACCTAGGATAATCATGTTTATTATTTTTAGTTTATCCCAATTTTAATGATAATTATGGATACTAGAAATATTCTAAGGACTTACCATCTTTTAATTATAACCATCTTTTAATACCCAAGTTAGGGATCTATTCTATGTACAGTGGTATTCTAAGGTATCTACATGGCTTTGGCAGCTGCAGTTGTAATATTGTTTGAGGACACACCAATGCCAAAATGCAACTTGAATTGGAGGGAAAAATTTTATAGCACTTTTAAATTATTTTAAATTTTAAATTTTGTTTCAAAGTAGGTAATAAGTATACCAATGCACTCACTGCAAAGTTCAAAAGGTAAAAGAGTTTAATGTGAAAAGTAACTTCCTACTAATTTCTTTTATCCAGCCAATTTTCTTTCCCAGCATCAACTAAGGTACCTTATTACTAAATTATACCTCTTTAAAAAAAAAAAAAAAAAAGGTGGTTATCTAAATTTCAAAGCAAGTACAATGCAGTGTTTATAAAAAGGGACTCTGAAATCACATAAACTACATTTAAAACCCAGCTCTATCACTAATTAGCTATGTAACCTTGGGCAAGTCATTTAATCTCTGTGCCTCAGTTTACTAGGCTATAAAACATTAACTATTTATTTTCTGGGGCTAGAGGATTAAATGAGGTAATAGTGGCAATGTTTTGAGCATAGGGCCTTGAATAAGCTATCAACAAATGTTAATATTGTTGTTGATGTTATTTAGATAAACTTAAACATATGTGATATCTAAAGACTATTCTTGAAGGAAAAAAAAATATTTTATTGGTACCTGGAGACTAGAATTTATTAAGGATCAGATTTGTTTACTACATTTTCAGTTTAATTTCTTTTTTTATTTCATAGTTTTAATTATACACAAAATATATAATGATTATAGAAAAAGTAGAAAATACATGATTAAAAAAAAGAGAAGTTAAGATTTTTTTAACTCCCATAATCCAGGAAAATATTACTTTTAACATTTTAGTTTATATACTTATAGACTGCCCAACAAATATATGCTTAGAAATTTATGCTTTTTAAGTGCTGCCTTTGACTACAGACCTGATACATGTAAACCTCGGCTCTATCAGTTTCCAGTCATGGGAGTTGCGGTACAATGGGAAATATATACAGTCATGTGCCACATAACATTTTGGTCAACTACAGACTTCATATATGGTGATCCATTAGGATTGTAGTGGTGCTGAAAAACTCGTAGATTGCTAACCTAGCTGAAAAATGCCTACTGATGTTATAGTCATTATAAGGCCAGATCATAGCACAACTCATTACTCATGTGGTTGTGGTGATATTGGTGTAAACGAACTTACTGAGCTACCAGTTGTTTAAAAGTATAGCACATAAAATTATGTTCAGTACATAATACTTGATAATAAATGACTAAATTACTGGTTTATGTAAAAAAATAGAAATTTAAGCTTTTAAAAAGGTATCATACTTTACACACTATTATGTAACCTGTTTATCTTCACTTAGCATTATATTATAAACATATTACCACATTAGCAAATATGGAGCTACATCATAATTTTCTGTAGTTGCATAGTATTTCATTGTATGACTATACCGTAGTTTATTTAGTTGATCTTGCAATTTTGGACATTTGTTTTCAACTACAATGAACATCTTTTATATCTGTCTTTCTGAATTTGCTTTGTTTTTATTTAGGATAAATTTCTAAAGTGTGAGTAGTGGGTGAAGGGTTTATACTTTTTAGGATTTTTGTTGTATTTTGCTATTTTTTCCTCCAGAAAGATTTTACTGATTTATACTAAAGTTTTCTCATGTAGCATTGGATATAAATTCCCACTCTTAATCTAGCATTAGATGTTCTAATTTTGAAAAATATTTGCTGATTTAATAGACTAGAAATAATCTCTTTTTTTGGTGTTGTTAATCCTCACCTAAGGATGAGTGGAGGAGAAGGGGGGAGCGGGGTTAGAGATGGGGAGGTGGAGGAGAGAAAGAAAAAGAGGGGATCAAGCCTGCAATCCAGGTACATGGGTAAATGCCCTTGACTGGGAATTGGACGCACAATCCTGCTGGTTTGACTCAGTGGATGGGGTGTCTGCCTGTGGATTGAAGGGTCCCAGGTTCGATTCAGGTCAGGGGCATGTACCTTGGTTGCAGGCACATCCCTTATGGGGGGTGTGCAGAAGGCAGCTGATCGATATTTCCAACTCTCTATCCCTCTCTTTTCCTCTCTGTAAAAAAAATCAATAAAATATATTTTAAAAAACAAAACAAAACAAAACAAAAAACGCAACCTTTTGGTGCATGGACCGGCACTCTAACAACTGAGGAACACAGGCCAGGGCTGTCTATTTAATTTTTAAAAAAAATATATTTTTTTTTTTATTAATTTCAGAGAGGAAGGGAGAGGGAGAGAGATAGAAATATCAATGATGAGAGAGAATAATTGATCAGCTGCCTCCTGCACATCCTACCCTGGGGATAGAACCCACAACCTAGACAGATGCCTTGACTGGGAATTGAACTGTGACCTCCTGATTCATAGGTGGATGCTCAACTACTGAGCCACACCAGCTGTATGTTTAATTTTTAAAGGAACTGCCTGTTTGTTTCTCAAAGTATCATATTTTACATTTTTCCAAACCAGGCATGTTTCTAAATTTTCTGAATTATACTTGTTTTTATTTTCTAGGCTTGTTTACAAATTGATCCTGCTGAGAGAATATCATCTGCTGATCTTTTACATCATGAGTATTTTACTAGAGATGGATTTGTTGAAAAGTAAGCATTTTGAGTGAATGTAGACTTCTAAGTGTTTTATATTAGGAAATTTTACTAATATGAAAATTACTACATAGGTTATTATTACACAACAGAAAAATCAATTTAGTGAAAACTTACTGAATTCCCATGCTGACTAGGTATATTGTAGACTTATAGGTGTCATAATAATAAAAATGATTTCAGTGCTCGCTTCAGCAGCACATACACTAAAATTGGAACAATACAGAGAAGATTAGCATGACCCCTGCGCAAGGATGACACAAAATTCATGAAGCATTACATATTTTAAAAAATATTTTAAAATATAATTGCAAGTGTTGGCGAGGTTGCGAAGAAAAAGGAACCCTCGTGAACTGCTGGTGGGAATGCAGACTGGTGCAACCACTGTGAAGAACAGTGTGGAGTTTCCTCAAAAAACAAAGTTTTTGACCCAGTAATCCCTCTCCTAGGTATATATCCCAAGAAACTAGAAACACCAATCAGAAAGGATATATGCACCCCTATATTCATAACAGCACAATCTACAATAGCTAGGATTTGGAAACAGCCTAGGTGCCCATCAGCAGATGATTGGATCAAAAAACTATGGTACATCTACACAATGGAATATTATGCTGCCATAAAAAAGAAGGAATTCTCATCATTTGCAGCAACCTGGATGGAATTGGAGAACATCATGCTGAGTGAAATTAGCCAGTCAATGAAAGAGAAACACCACATGACCTCACTCATTTATGGATAATAAAGAACACTATAAACTGATGAACCAAAAGATAGATATAGAGACAGTAAAGCAACAAGCAGACTGTCAAATTACAGTGGGGAGGGTAGGGAGATCTGGGGAAGATAAGAGATCAACCGAAGGACTTGTATACATGCATATAAGTACAACTAATGGACACAAAACTCTGGGGAGTGAGGGGGGGCACAATGGTATATGTACACAGATAATAATTTAATAAAAAAATGGGGAAAAAATAAAAATAATTGCAGTTAACATTAATTACACAGTTACTATATCCTAGGATGTGTGCTAAATTCTTCACAAACATTTGTAATGGTCATCATTGGCCAGAAATAACATTAAATAAATAATCAGTGATTTCTAATTACTTTTTTCTCATTTGGATCTCTGACTCAGAATAGTCTGTTTTTTTGCTATTCTGCTACCATCTCTGATCTATACGTTAAAATTAAGATTATAACATAGAAAGTAAGAGCTTAGAAAATGTATGGGTTGCCGAAACCGGTTTGGCTCAGTGGATAGAGTGTCGGCCTGCGGACTGAAGGGTCCTAGGTTCGATTCCAGTCAAGGGCATGTACCTTGGTTGCGGGCACATCCCCATGGGGGGTGTGCAAGCGACAGCTGATGGATGATTCTCTCTCATCGATGTTTCTAGCTCTCTTTCCCTCTCTCTTCCTTTCTATAAAAAAATCAATAAAACATATTTAAATAAATAAATAAGATTATAGCCCTGACTGGGAGAAGTTGACCTCCAGGCCAATTGACTGTGAGGACGAGCTGTGACTAAGGTGGGAAGGCTATTGTATAGGAAACACCCTTATAGAGCAGAACTTGCTTCAATGGGACTTTGGTACTCACTGAGTCTGCCTCTTGAGTGTTGCTTGTGGATGTGTAGAGTTATACTGGTAATCTGCTGTGGCCTAAAGCTGCACTGGCTCTAGGGCCTCCTGGAAGGTGCAGTCAGACACTGCCTGGGGCCACCTGGCAGGAGCTACAGAGGGATCTTCAGATGGTTTCTATTGAGGTATTTGCTATTTGTATTGAACTTGGAGGCCAAGATAAGGCCCAGCTGTGAAGCAAGGCAGGCTGGTGCTAGTGCTGTTTCTTAGGCCCTTTACTGATAGGTTTGGGGCAAGCTGTCATCAGCTGCAGCTTTTTTGAGAGATTTTAGCAAAATCTGAAGTCTGAGCCATACAGGCCATTCATATGGAAAAGCTGCTGTAAAATAGCTTGGGTGGAGCTGCAAATTGGATGGGGCAGGGTCTCAGGGAATCCCCAGGTTGGAGCAAACAGTGTGCTCCGGGCTAATGGAGAATCAGACGTGGCTTCCAGTCAGCCCTGAAACAGGGAGGTCCCAGCACAGGAATGATGACCCCTGAGAGTAAACCCATCTGGGAGAAAGCCAACCCTGAGTTTCTGCCCAGATGCTAGGTAATCCAGTTCCTCCCTGTATTTATCTGGGTCCCACTGGCACTGGAGCTCAGAAGAAGCAGGACCAGGTAAGTTTGTGTTCAGGCCCTTTAAGGGAAACACCTGGAATTCCAGTAGCCTCAGTCACAATCCCTACTGGTTTTTACAGCCTGTAGTTTTGGACACTTTCTTCCCAGCTCTGGAACATTGAGCTGGGGGTCTGGTGTGAGGCTGGGATCCCTTGCTCCTCATTGATAGCCTCATGATTTAAAAAATGGCACATGCGGGTGTCCCACCAGCCTTTTCCCTGCCTCTGCCCCCTTAATAGTCTCAATGAGCTTTCTTCTTTACTTCTCTAGTTGTAGGACTTCTATTCAGCCAGCTTTCAGGCAGTTCTGAATGAAACTTGTTCTGTATTTTAGTTATAATTTTGATGTGCTTGTAGGAGGTGGCAAGTACAGGCAGTTACCTGTATAGCCATCTTGGTTCTTGCTGTAAAAATATTATATAGTGAATTCCCATGGTAAAACTGAAAGATGGGTCTTTATCAGGAAGAAATTTGTATTAGGTAAATAAATATTGGACTATTTTGGGCATATATTCTTGATTATTCTGAGGTTGAAATGTAAATTAATTGATTAAATGGTCTATTAAAGATAAAATTACCTACATAAATAACAAGGTTATTGGTTAATATTGCTTGTTTTATCAGATTCATACCAGAACTAAGAGCTAAATTACTACAAGAAGCAAAAGTCAATTCATTCATAAAGTCAAAGGAGAATTCTAAAGAAAATGAACTTATGAAAGATGAAAGAAAAACAGTGTATACTGATACACTTCTACGTACTTCACTTTTGGGAAAGGTAAAAACTTATTAGTCAGTGACATAGTTAAGCACACTAATAATAAAAATTACAGACTCAGATTTTGGATGTATCTATTCCAGGAAATGGAAAAAGAGAAAAAGCTCAAGGAAGTAAAAACCAGAGTTATTAAAGGCAAAGGAGGAAAAGTAGATACCTTAGAACCAAAAAAGACAGAGTATGAAAGTGGACATTGTCAATCAGATGCAATTGAAAATGCTCATACTGTGTCTCAAAATATAAAATCTGTAATCAATGAATCACCAAACCCTGCCAATCCCAGCACTAGCTCTATTGGCATGAAAGACAATCCACATGCTGGAGGTAATACGATGATGCCACCCATCAACCTAACTAGCAATAACTTGATGGCTTCCAATCTCAATTTAAATCTCTCCCACTCCAATTCAAGGTGAGTTCTAACAAAAAAGAGACAGAAGGAAATGGACCTAAGTAATACAATGTTCCTATATAATAGTATTTCAAAGAATCAGATTTATAGTATATATAAGCTGAATTTGAAGACCTATTGAAATTATAATCATACAATGGGCCATTATTGAGTCCTTATAAATACTGTAGAAGAAATTAACTTTGCTGGGCTATACAGAAGTTTAATTTCTCACTAGTCCTTTTTTGGAAAAGCCTCAATTTTCCAACTAACAAACAAACAAAAACTGAACAGAAAACACACACACACACACAAACACACACACACACACAAAACCTTAGAAACATTTCTTCTCATTTTGAGAGGGAAAAAAGGTGATATGTTCTAAGTCCTGGTATAACAAAGTAAGCTTTATTTCTGTATTAGAGCGAATTCTCTAAATGGAGAGAGGATGGTTGAGAATAACCTTTTATAGTCAAATAGTCTTTCAAGGTCAAATAGTTTGAGAGGAAACCAACAAATTGGGCTAGTTTTAGCTACTAGTACAGATTGAGAGAATGGTGCATCAGTCTGTTTATCAAGGGCAGTGTGAGGGATGGCAGGTCTCTCTAATAAGGCACCATGGTCAGTTCTAAATTTAGGGAAACTAATATATATATATACAATATATATTAAGAGAGAGAGAGAGAGAGAGAGAGAGAGAGAGAGAGAGAGAGAGAGAGTGGAGAGAGAGAGACTAGGTTCAATATCCCAAGCTGATCCTACCAGACTGATTTGGGCTATACGCTGGAAAACTTAGTGCTCTGCAGAGGTGGGCAAGTGGACGTGTCTAGGTGGATATGGCTATGCCAGTCGAAAGGCTCAGCAGGTTACAGACAGCAAGAGCTCAGTTGTTCTTGAAGTGACCTAAAAACTATTGCTGCAGTAACCATGGTTGTAAACCAGCTTTGGACAGCAAGTTCAGAAATTCAAAGATCCAGGTTCAGATCAGATAGAAGGGACCAAGTGGGCCAATTAGAATAACCCTACAATAGAGTCACCACTGATGTTAGCCACAACTGAGTTGTTCTACTCTCTGTTTTCACCTCTCTAGTTAGAGCAATTGGCACTTAAAGACTGACAATTGTATTTTGGCACTCAGTGTTCTAACTAGACTTCCATGGTATAACTTATTCATTGTTGAATCTAAAACAGAAGCACTTCTGGGGAGTTCTAATAACTACTTACTTGTTTTTAAATAATAGGTTAACTGAAAGAGCAAAAAAGAGATATACTCCTTCACAATCTATTGGACACGTTGTGGCTAATAACAGGCAAGAGGATACAGGTCCCACTCAAGTAAGGCAAGAAGCTAGTCATTAAATTATGGCCTCTTTCAACATTATTCCTCTCACTGGTTTCCTTGCCCTTCTCTCCATTTCTGGGGCACTAATATTTTTTTAATGTACTTTTAGTTTCCTTTTTCCCCTCCTGAGATGAAAATAGGCCATTTCCTTAGTGTCTTCACAATTTTAGTTAATTTCTTTTAACTTGATTTGTGTATTCAGTGTGTTACTTGGAGGGTGTGTGTGTGTGTGTTAAATTTTTCACCGATAAAAGTCACAAGACTTGTTTAAAATTTTTATCTTTATTGTTGAAACAAATGTCTTCCTTATAGATGTCTTCCTTCCCCCCCCCCCATTAACTCCCTGTACCCTACTCCCCACTTCACTGTCCTTCACCGTGCTACTATCTGTATCCATGGATTGACTTTTTGTTTTGTTTTTCTCTGCAAAAATGTTAATACCTTACTTTATAGATTAAAGCAATTGCCAAAAGGATACATTTTACTTTTTAGAAAAAAATAATCAGTATTGTTCATTCCCTCATTTTTTTTAACATAGGAAAGTACTATTCAAAAATTGAACCACAGTGTTTTTTATAATAAGAAATTGAAAGCACAGATTCATCCAAGAGCAAGTGACTGGTTAAGTACATTAGAGTGATCTACACAAGGGGATACTATATATTACATCGTGGAAGATTGTTCCTTAACCTAGGGAAGTTTTTCTTTTCCTTTTTATTAAAAAGTTTTTTAAAGGGTAGTCTTTTTAATATTTTTATTTATTGTGTATAAGAGAGAGAAATAGAGAGAGAGAGAGAGAGAGAGAGAGAGAGAGAGAGAGAGAAAGAGAGAGAATGAAGAACATAAATTTGTTGTTCCACTTATTTGTGCATTCATTGGTTGATTCTTGTATGTGTCCTGACCAGGGATAAAACCTGCAATCTTGACATCTTGAGATGACGCTCAAACCAACAGAGCTACCCAGCCACGGACTTTTATTTTTAAACTTCAGTTGACCTACAATATTATATTAACTTCAAGTGTATAACCTTGTGATTAGACATTTATCTAATACAAAGTGATCACCCCAATATATCCAGCATCCATCTGACAACATACGTAGTACTATATTGTTGACTATATTCCCTATGCTGCACTCCACATCCCCGTGACCATTCTGCAACCACCAATTTGCATTTCTGAATCCCTTCATCTCTTGCACACATTGCTTCAACTCCTCTTTCACCTGACAACCATCCAAGTGCTCCCTGCATCTATGAGTCTGCCTCTGTTCTGTTTATTTATTTTGTTTTCTATATTCCACATATAAGCGAAATCATCTGGCATTGTCCTTCTGACTAACTTATTTCACCTAGCATGAAACCTTCTAGGTTCATCCATATTGTCACAGATACCAAGATTTCATTGTTTTATGGCCAAATCATATTCCATTGTATATATGCACCACTTCTGTTTGTTTGTTTATTATTAATCCTTACCCGAAGAAATATAGAAATAGGAAGAGAAAGAGAAAGAGAGAGAGAGAGAGAGAGAGAGAGAGAGAGAGAGAGAGAGAGAGAGAGAGAGATGCACATAGATTGGTTGCCTTCTGCATGCACCCCGACCAGAGCTGGGAGTCGAGCCTGCAACTTAGGTGTGTGCCCTTGATCAGGAATCCAACCCATGACCCCTCAGTGCACAGACTTTGCATTCTAACCACTGAGCACACCAGCCAGTATGCACCATTTCTTTTTGATCCACTCATCAATTGATGGACACTTAGATTGCTTCCATATTTTGGCTATTGTAAATAATGCTGCAATAAACATGAATGCTGCCTGGCATGCGTGGCTCAGTGGTTGAGTTTTGACCTATGAACCAGGAAGTCATGATTCAATTCGGGGTTAGGCACATGCCCAAGTTGTGGACTGGATCCCAGTGTGGGGTGTGCAAGAGGCAGTTAATCATTCTTTCTTGTCATTGATGTTTCTATCTCTTCTCTTCCTTTCCTCTCTGAAATCAATAAAAATAAATATTTTAAAAGTCTAATAAAAAAAACACATTTGAGTGTATATGTCTTTTTGATTTAGAGTTTTGGATTTTTTTTTAAATTTTTTTTAAATAAATACCCAGAGGTGGAGTTGCTGGGTCTTTGTCTCTTGTTTTGGCTTTGTTTTAAAGTCTATTTTGTCTGTTATAAGTATTTGTACCCCAGCTTCTTTATTTTATTTCCATTTTCATGAAGACCCTTGAATATTTCATATAATTCTGGCTTGGTGGTGATGAACTCCTTTAATTTTTCTTGTCTGGAAGCTCTTTATCTGTCCTTTGATTATAAATGATAAGTTTGCTAGGTAGAGTACTCTTTATTGTAGGTCATTGCTTTTCATCACTTTGGATATTTTGTGCCAATCACTTCTGGCCTGCAAAGTTTCTTTTGAGAACTTAGTTGACAATCCTATGGGAGTTCCCTTGTAGGTTACTAACTGCTTTTCTCTTGCTGCTTTTAAGGTTCTTTCTTTGTCTTTAAACCTTTGACATTTTAGTTATTATGTATCTCGGTGTGGGCCTTTTGGGGTTCATCTTGTATGGGACTCTCTGTACTTCTTTTTTCTTTGCCAGGTTAGGGAAGTTTTCCATCATCCATGATGCAAAAGTGGGTGTGTTTGAAGTTGTCCCAAAGGCTTCTTACACTATCCTAATTTCTTTGGATTCTTTTTTCTTTTTACTATTCTGATTGGGTGTTTTCTGCTCACTCATATTTTAAGTCATTGATTTGATTCTCTGCTTCATCTACTCTACTGTTGAATCCCTGTTATTTATTCTTCATTTCAGTTAGTATCCTTATTTCTGATTGGCTCTTTTTTTATGGCTTTCATATTACTTTTTATGATGTTGAAGTTCTCACTAAGTTTCTTGAGTATCCTTATAACCATTGTTTTGAACTCTGTATCTGGTAGTTTGCTTGCCTCCATTTTATTTGGTTCTTTTTCTGGAGTTTTCTCCTGCTCTTTCATTTTGGACCTGTTTCTTTGTCTCCTTTTGGCTGCTTCCCTGTGTTTGATTCTATGTATTAGGGAGAGCTTCCATGTCTCCTGGACTTGGTATAGTGGCCTTGTTTGGTAGGTGTCCTGAGAGCCCATTGGTGAAGTCTCCCCAGTCATCCAAGCTTAGCACTCCAGGTGCACCCCTGTGTGGGCTGTGTGCAATGTCCTGTTGTAGTTGAGCCTTGATTGCTGTTGGCACATCACTGGGAGAGATTAACTCCCTGGGCCAATCAGCTTCTAGGACTAAGGGAAAAGGACTTGTTTCAGTGGGGTTTGATGCCCATTGAGTCTATCCCTTGAGTGTATCACTAATGGAGGTGGTTGGGTTGTAATCTGCTATGGTCTGAAGCTATCCATTGGGTCAGCTACCACCTGTGCCCTATCTGGGGCCACCCGACATGAGCTATATATGCCAATGGCTGTTATTTATGCTGGGCTTAGTGGTGCCCAGGAAAAGCCAAGCTATGATCCGAGGCTGGCTGCTACTAAGTCAGGAGTGGGGCCACTTAGCAAAGATATGGGGTACACAAAGGCCAGATGTTACTTGTGAGATTCTAGGAAAGTCTGAAATGTAAGGCAAGAGAGGCTGTTTGTATGGAAAAGCCACTGGAAACAATGTGGATGGGCCTATAAGCTGGGTGGAGTGGAATTTCAGGGAATCACCAGGGCTGGGGAAACATGTTAGCTAGATTGATGGAGACTCAGATATGAAGTCGGCCTGCCAGCTCTTGGGGGAATGAGCAGAGGAACAATGGCCTCTGCTAGCACTTGAGTCCGAGAGGAGCTGCTCCTTCAGCCTTCACTCTAAAGCCAGACAGTTCAGTTAACATAGGAAAGTTTTTATCATCTGTTGTCAAGTGAGCAACATCAGAAAACATAAAAGGTTTTCCAAAATGCTAAGTTCACAAATAGTTTACTATTTTGGGTTTCCTTTTGGGTTTTCCCAGTGTCCAGAGCACATTTTTAAATTGAAAAATAGTTTTTAAAAATAACAATATGTTTTTATTTAATTTAGAGAGAGAAGGAAGAGGGAGAAAAAGCGAAACATTGATTGGTTGTCTCCTATATGCACTCTTACTGGGGACTGAACCCACCACATGGGCATGTGCCCTGACTGGGAATTGAACCTGCTGTCTTTTGGTGCATGGGATGATGCTAACCAACTGAGCCACATTGGTGAGGGCTAGAAAAGTAAATTTTTAATAAAATGAACAGAAGCAATTTGTCCAAAGTCAGAGTATAATGAATAGGATTAAAAATTAAAAGTTAAGATTGTGGTTCTCATGGTCAAGACTATTATTCTCAGAATATTTAATATGCTAAAAACAATGATTGCTTTATGAAACTTTTATTGAACTTTAATTCATTTATATATTTATTGGTATTCTCTTTTAGAAGACATTGTTATGCATACCTTATACCAGTGGTCAGCAAACTCATTAGTCAACAGAGCCAAATATCAACAGTACAACAATGGAAATTTCTTTTGAGAGCCAAATTTTTTAAACTTAAACTTCTTCTAATACAACTTCTTCAAAATAGACTCACCCAGGCCGTGGTATTTTGTGGAAGAGCCACACTCAAGAGAACAAAGAGCCGCATGTGCTCATGAGCCTCAGTTTGCCAACCACAGCCTTATACCATCCGAATGGCTAATAATTCTAGGCTTGTCATTGAATAGTTACACATTTTTCTTCAAATTAATTCTTGTTTATTTGTTTGTTTAGAGCCAAATGGAGAAAGGTATATTTAGTGAGCGGACAAGTCAAAGTGACCAAATGGCAAGTGGAAGTAAAAGGAAGCTGAATTTCTCCAGACCTGATAGGAAAGAGTTCCATTTCCCAAAATTGCCTTTCCTAATACAATCAAATGAAATGAAAAGAACAGAAGGTACATAAATGTTTCATAGCATTATAATCTCCCAATGTTATCTTACACAAAACCTTTTTAGTAACATAACTTACATGTTATAATGTGATTTAGGTAGAAAATAGTAAATTACTGTGAAAAATATTTTCAGCAGATGAGTATTCCCCCTTCTCCTCCATCATCAAATAAGGGGTGAGATTTAAAGGAAAAATTTTAAATGTTAAGAAAACTTTAAAAGTTAAATATTTCATTAGCTCAGTATTGTTGAAATGTTTAGAATAGTATTTGAAGAAGGTGGTTTTGGTTCGGTATATGTTTGGAATCAATCCATTTCCTATGTTTACCCATGATTATTTGTCCATATATGGCAGGAATTATATATGAGCTTCAGGAATCCAAGGAATTAGTAGAATAAGATTTATAACAGGGCCCTAACCAGTTTGGCTCAGTGGATAGAGCATCGGCCTGCAGACTCCAGGGTCCCAGGTTCGATTCCGGTCAAGGGCATGTACCTTGGTTGCAGGTACATCCCCAGTAGGGAATGTGCAGGAGGCAGCTGATCCATGTTTCTCTCTCATTATGTTTCTAACTCTCTATCCTTCTCCTTTTCCTCTCTGTAAAAAAAAATAAAATAAAAAACTTTTAAAGATTTATATCAGGTATTGATTTCTTAAAATGAAACTCATTTTTGGCATAGTAAATGTTATATTATTTGAAGAACAGTGACACCTTGTGAAAACTTAATATAATAGCATGAATATAGTACTTTGTATAGTTCAAGAGGAATTATCCGATCCACTTAACAGTTATACTTAGAATTTTTAAAAATACATATCTTCTTTTTTAAAAATATATATTTCTATTGATTTCAGAGAGAAAGGGAGAGGGGAGAGAGAGAGAGAAACATCCATTGGGTTGCTTTAAACTTGGGTGACAAGTCCATAACCCAGGCATGTATCCTTGACCAGAATCGAACCTGGGACCCTTCAGTCCACAGGTTGATGCTCTAGCCACTGATCCAAACCGGCTAGGACAACACATGTCTTCTTTTAATGACATATTATTTGTAAAGTTATTAAACAAATAATTTATAATTGGTGCATTTTACCATTACAACTCATAATTTGTTCAGTTCTTTCATAATAAAGTGAGGAATTGACCTAAGTGGCCATCAGAATTTCCATTTGAAACTCTTAAAAAAGAAAGTAAAATTTTAATGTAAGAATAATAAGTTGTTATTGTATATATTTTTGCAAAAGTTAAACAGATAAAAGTGCCAAAGAGGGAATCAAAGAAAACAGATTCATCTAAAATACCAACTTTACTTAATATGGACCAAAATCAAGGAAAACAAGAGGTAAAACATTTCTTGTTTATAGCTTTAACTAAGGAATGCTGTTTAGAATCCTTGACTTGGTGTGTAAACTTAGTTATTATCATTGTAAAGTTATGTAAAAATTAAACATTCTGTAATCTTTGAATTTGAGAAACCGATATATATATATATATATATATATATATATATATATATATTTTTTTTTTTTTTTTCCCCCCCAGAATAACTACTTACTAAAGGTTTTATAACTTTCTTGTGGGGAGGGTAGTGAGTACCAGCTTATATTTGAATGTTGAAGTGATTAGAATGTTGTACTCAGGGAAAGGACTATGCGTTATGTGTATTACCAAGCATTGGGCAAGTAACCTATGCCAGAGGAAATGAATAATGGTATAAACTTATGGCTATACTGGCCACAAGAACAGATTTGTCTTGAGCCTCTTCCCGTTCCCCCTACCTCCAATTTGTTCCAGAATATCTTCTGTCTACCTGCTGTCCTATTTTCACAAATATTTGCTCTTAGCTAGCTATCAGATAATCTTGTTGAAATGTCTCAGCCCCAACCCACCAGAGAGAGTCTTGAATTTTATTTGGAAATCTGAAGCCCTAAACACCCAAATGAATACTATCTAAAAGTATTCTTTTAAAAGAAGGGGATTGTGCAGAGCACCCATGGATTAAATCACAGTTAGCCTTCTATTTTCGTGAGATCAGCAACTTTGTTATCTCAGTTTCTTATTTTTAAAATAAAATTGATTACATTTTTTAAAATAATGGTTCACTGATTTTTAGAAAGAGGAAGGGAGAAGGAAAGAAAGAAACATTGTTGTGAGAGGGTTGCCTCCTGCATGCCCTCTACGTGGGATCAAGGCCCCAACCCAGATCAAGGCCCCAACCCAGATCAAGGCCCCAACCCGGACTCCTGCTCTGACTGGGAACCAGCAACCTTTCAGTGCATGGGACAACACCCACCCAACTGAGCCACACAGACCAGAGCTTGATTACATTTTTATTCGTGATAAAATTAGCACAAACCTATAAAGGAAATTTGAGTAAATTAGAAAAATGAAGAAACTCTGATCTGAAACTACTTACGGTATTTTAACTAAGTCTACAACATTCAAGTAAAACAGTTATCAGATGCTGTTAGGTATATTTTTTGTGACATTTACTAGTGTACTTTATTCTTGGTCTAGAACTTGTTAAGAACTCTCAGTTTATTTTGCAGAATGGAGAAATTTTCTAGACAGAACATGAAACCCATAGTGATCATCTTTTAGTTAATTAAAAAAGTAATAGGGTTGCTTTAAACTTGGATGATTTGATGTTGAACAGCACACCATTTGCACATATCCTGAATGATTGGTGAGTTAGAGCTCCTGAGTTTGGGCATGTTAGTAATGTGCTATTATGTATTTATTCCACTGTCCTCTGAGAGCCCCTCTGGAACTACAATTACATGCCAATGCAAAAAGAAAAGAACTCTTAAGATAGTTTTGTAATTTTAAAATATAAAAGTAAATAGGAAGGGAAAATTTCTTCTTGCTCATAAGGTATAGAACTTCTAAAAATATGGCATTTTAAAGAATGACCTTGAAACAGTTGTATTATAGTTCTTAGAAATAATTACTAAATAAATAAATAAATAAATAACCAGAAGTTACCAATGGTGGTTGTATTTTATTTGTATTGCTCATTCAAATACAATTTTGACAAGTGACTGAAATTGCATGTTAGTCTATTTCAGACACTTATAATAAATTAATGTCAGAACTGAGAATATTTCCTAAATTTTGAGTTGGTAGTTTGTTAGTTTAGAGCAAAAAACAATATCACATGTCTTTAAAAATGTAAGAGGTATTAACAACTTATTTGTTTTATTCTTGGCTCTGTCATTGACTTGATTACATTGTCATTGTCATTGACTTTGAATTACCTAATCAGATCCAGGCACTTCCCAGTTGTACATTAAACTATTTTAGGCATCTTAAATTAATATTGAAATAGCACATGCATGCATTGAATAGACTCTATGATCTAGGCAGTGTTTCCCAAATTTTTGACATATGTGTACCCCTTTTATAATTTTTGTAACACTGAGTACCCCTCGTACTCATGAGAACGTAGAATTAGGCGCAGCTAAGCACAATGCAGTGCATACCCCCATCAAACTCTTCCTGTACCCCTGGAGGTACGCATACCACACTTTGGGAAACACTTATCTAGAGAGAAAACCTTAAATTACTGCTAAAGAGTGTATTAGGAAGAGAGAGAAGTGCCCAAACAAAAACTATCTTCAGCTGTTTCATGATGATAATGAAGAATACTTTGCTAGATAGTCTCCCTGCACCTCATGAAACAGCCTCCAGGTGCAAAGCACAAGTATTATACTTATCTGTGGCCTATGTGTATTTCTTTAGCCAAAGACTCACCATTTCCTCAATTAAGGTTCTTGTTTCTATTTACTTTTCAGAATACAGGAAATGCACAAACTGAAAAGAAGAAGAACCTGCCAGATGTAGAGTAAAAAATGCAGCAGCTGAAAATTCAGGGAATCCCAGAATCACTGTATGGTTTTTTTAAAAATACTTTTTTAAATATTACATGCAAAAATGCTACTAGATAATTCTACAAATACATAAATTCTGTGTAGTTATATGTATATTCACCTAAATTTGTTTTTAAATTTATTAATCTTTAAATTATTTATGTTTTCTAAATTTGAATATATATATAACTGCCTGACTGGTACATCCTAATAAAACAACAGTTTATATTAAGTCATATAATTTATATTTATTTATTTTTATTTTTTAATGTTTTTAATAAGGATGGAAATTGAGCAAAGCATTGGAGCAAATCTTTTGGCTTGACCAGCATGTCTATCATTTAGTAGTTTAATAGACTATGTTGTTACATATAATTTAACATTAATAGGCAAAGTTTTGGCAATATATGTTTACATTCTTATCTCTGGTTTTTACTGGCTTGATTTCTAATTTTAGGATGGAGATGGCCATTGTTCGAAGGAGAATTTGAAGAGGAGCAGATTTTTTGGGGGTAGCATCTTTTAAATCTTAAAATCCAAATTGGCAAGTCTTCCCTTTTTATTTTATATACAATAGAAATGATGTAACGAGCTGTAAGTAAGCCATTCTTCTGCATTAGCATCATCCAACTTCATTTTGTTAGCAAACCATTCACTGTTTTCATCTTTCTTCTAAGAATTCTGTTGATATGATGCTCTGATTTGGAATTAAAGTCATCTGTCTTCCTGCCTCTTTACTTGCCATGATTTCTGAGTAGGTAACACATCCTGTCATATGACACACTATACTTATACTGATCTCTGCCTTTTGCTAGTCACATAACGTTAAATGTCAATTATTCCCTAGGATGCTTTATAAGGTATTTAAATGTTAAATTCTTTTATCCTTTTAAACAACTATCAGCACTCTTTCAGTTTTCTAGTTCCATCAGATAGTGCTTTTTATGTCTAATAAAACTTTTTCTATCTAATAAAATCCAATTATATACAACCCAAAAGAAAAATAGTGCCAAAATTCTCAATTGTCCTATTCTTAAAAAAAACAAATAAAAAAACAATAAAATGGGATTATCTGGTGTTTTGCCAGAATGCTACCTGACTTTTTATTTACTAAAAGTAGGCATGAAAAACAAAGGAAAGCATAATTTTATTATATTATAATCTCTTTTTAATTAATTTTATTAAATTTTTATTTATTTTAGAGAGAGAGAGAAACATCAATTTGTTGTTCTACTTTATTTTTAATTATTTTTTATTTTTTGTTAATCCTCACCTGAGGATATTTTTCTTTTGATTTTTAGAGAGTGGGAGGGAGGAGGAAAGACAGAAAATGAATGAAACATCAAATATTTGGGCTCAGTTCTTAGTCCTATTCTGTTTCTATCTATACTCCCTTGGTGAGCTTATCCAGATACATGGTCTTAAATACCTTTTATAATTTTTTTATTTTTATTTCTTTTTAGTGAGAGAGGGAGGTAGAAACATTGATGAGAGAGAAATATCATCGATTGGCTGCTTCCTACACACCCACCACTGGAGATTGAACTCAAAACCCAGGCATGTGCCTTGACTAGGAATCAAACCAGTGACCTTTTGGTTTATAGGTTGATGCTCAACCACTGAGCCACAGAAGCCAGGTTTAAATACCATTTATATACTGACTAGAGGTCCGGTGCACAAAAATTCATGCACTGGGGGGAAATCCCTCAGCCCGGCCTGCCCCCTCTCTCAGTCCGGGAGCCCTCAGGAGATGTCCCCCTCTGCAATAGGCAACTGGGCCCATTAGGAGAAGGCGCCATCCCCATCACCTGCTACTGCTGCCACTACCGCCCACTGTGGCCGCTGGTTCTTCTTGGCCCTCATAGCTGCTTCAGCTTTGTCTGGAAGGAAGTCCAGAAGATGTCTGGTCTATCTAGTCTAATTAGCATATTACCCTTTTATTAGTATAAATAACTTTCAATTCTCTGTCTCTAGACTTGACCCCTACACTCCAGACTCAGATTTCCATTTGTCCATTCGCTAGCTCCACTAAAATACAATATATAAGTATCTCAAACCTAACATGTCCAAAATTAAGGTACTAATCTCTTAGTTCTGCCTGTGTTTTCCCTATCTTAGTTAAGGGCAGCTCTATTCTCCCAATTGCTCAGGAGAAAACCTTGTAATAATCCATGACTTTTCTCTTTCTCTCATGCTCCATATCCTTTCAACTCTACCCTCAGAGTATTTCCAGGATTTGACTACTTTTCACCCTCCTGCTATTCACAACATTTCTTGTTTATATTTTGTATCTTAACTGATCTCTTTGGTTATTCCCTTGTTTAACCTTCCTTCTTTTGCCTGGGTGTTTTGTTTATATACATTCTTACTGATTTTCGGAGTGAGAAGAAGAGAGAGGGAGAGAGAAAAACACTGATGTGAGAGGGAAACATTAACTGCTTCCCACACACACCCCCACCAGGGATTGAACCCACAACCCAACATGTGACCTGGCCAGGAATCGAACTGTCCACACTGGCCAGAGCCTGGGTGTTCTTAACAAAGTTTAAGTCAGACTATGTCACTGCTGTGCTCAAAACCCCGAATGCTTCTCATTTCACTCAGAGTAGAAGCCACAGACATTACAGTAATCTATGTGGCCCTTATATAGTATGCCTCTGGCCCCTGTTTAACCTGATTTGCTGCTTTCTCCCAATTGCTCATTCTGTTCCAAGCCCACTGACCTCTGCTGTTCCTAGCTATGCTCCTGCCTTAAAACCTTAGTTTTTGCTATTTCCTCTGCTTAGAAATTTCTCCCCAGGTGACTGCATGATTGATTCCCTCCTTCCTGTTGTTCATGACAACCTCTTTACTGTTTTTACTCATATATGAAGACTTCTCTACCACTTTTACCTAAGGTTACAACTTTCCCAATTCTTAATCTCCTTTTTCATATAATATTTCCCTAGCAAGCTATGTATTTTACTTATTTTGTTTATTAATGGTTTTCCTCCATGAAAATGGGAACCACCTGAAGGTGGGGATTTAGAGTTTTTGTTTGCTGAGGTATTCCCCATGCCTAGAACAGTGCCTAGCATTAATTGGCACTCAATAACTTTTGTTTTGTTAATGAACAAATGAATTTATTAAGCACCTTATATAGTAATCACTTGAAAAATATGAGATGATTTTATTGGTAGAATATGCTCTCTATAACAAGCTATTATTCATTGTTCAAGGACTAAGTAGCAGTGATCTGGCATGGAGTTTAAAGGTGAAGGAGATCAGCTGAGCTTATAGTTTGTTAGTATTTTTTTTTATTGTTTAAAGTATTACATATATTAGTACATATATCTCCACCCCCACCCCCATTGACCTTCCCTCAGCCTCCTCTACCCCCTGTTGCATGCCCTCATCCCACCTCCCTAGTGTCTTGTGTCCATTGGTTGGGCTAATATGCATGCATACAAGTCCTTTGGTTGGTCTCTTCCCCACTTCCCCAATACTCCCCAGTCCTCCTGCTGTAATTTGACAGTCTGTTTGGTGCTTTCTGCCTCTGCATCTGTCTTTTTGTTCATCAGGATATAATGTTCTTTATTTTCCAAAATGAGTGAGATCATGTAAGTGAGATCACTGAACATAATGTTCTCCAGGTCCATCCATGCTGCTGCAAATGGTAAGAATTCCTTCTTTCTTATAGCAGCGTAGTATTCCATTGTATAGATGTACTATGGCTTTCTAATCCACTCATCTACAAGAAATATTTACATTACTGCTAATGGGCATTTAGGCTGTTTCCAAATCTTAGCTATGATCAATTGTGCTGCTATGAACATAGGAGTGCATATATCCTTTCTTATTGGTGTTTCTAGTTTCTTGGGATATATCCTAGAAGTGGGATTACTGGGTCAAATGGGAGTTCCATTTTTAGTTTTTTGAGTAAGTTACATACTGGTGTCCACAGTGGCTGCACCAGTCTGCATTCCCACCAGCAGTGCATGAGGGTTCCCTTTTCTCCGCATCCTTGCCAGCACTTGTCGTTTGTAGATTTGTTGATGCTTGCCATTCTGACAGGTGTGAGATGGTACCACATTGCTGTTTTGATTTACACCTCTCAGATAATTAGTGACTTTGAGCATGTTTTCATATATCTATTGGCCTTCCTTCTGTCTTCTTTCGAAAAGATTCTATTTAGGTCCGTTGCCCTTTTTTTTACTGGATCATTTATCTTCTTTTTATTAAGTTGTATAAATTCCCTGTAGATGTTGGAGATTAAACCTTTATCAGTGATAACATTTGCAAATATGTTCTCCCATACAGTGGGCTTTCTTGTTTGGTTTCTTTTGCTGTACAAAAGCTTTTTATTTTGATGTAGTCCCATTTATTTATTTTCTCTTTAGTTTTCATTGCTCTAGGAGTGGTATCAGTGAAGAAATTGTTTCGGCATATGTTTGAGATTTCTCTCCCTGTGGATTCCTCCAGTATTTTTATGGTTTCCTATCTTATGTATAAGTCCTGTATCCATTTTGAGTTTACCTTTGTGTATGGTATAAATTGGTGGTCTAGTTTCATTTTTTTGCATGTATCTGTCCAATTTCCCCAACACCATTTATTGAAGAGATTGTCTTGACTCCATTGTATGTTCATACCTCCTTTGCAAAATATTAATTGAGCATAGTGGTTTGGGTCGATTTCTGAGTTCTCCAGTTTGTTAACATTTTAATGAAGGAATTGAAACTTAATTACAGAAAGATAACAGAAGAATGCCTGTTAGGGACAGAATTCCATGGACTATCATATAATTTAGAAAAATTGGTTTTCAGAAAGTAAAAAAGAGAAAGAAGACAAGAAAATTCAGATAAGGCAAGTGAAAGAGTAAATAAGAAATATTGCTCTGCAAAGTGAGTTACAGTATGTGAGTCAGATTTTCACTTCTCCCCCTACAGTCACCACATTCCTGTTTTTTAGCCACTGTGTGTCAGGGAACTAGGAAAGTCTTAAATTAATACACTTAATACTTGCTGTAGAGTGGAACATTGTATTAAGTACTCTGTGTTATATAGGTCTCTCAATTAGCTCTTGGCTTAGAATAAGTAAAATGATTTCTTTGCTTAGTTAAATAGATATATAACAGTATTAAAAGAATAAATGAGCCTGTGAAATGAAGTTTGCCTGAGATTGACTTTTTAAAAAAATATATATATTTTATTGATTTTTTACAGAGAGGAAGGGAGAGAAATAGAGAGCTAGAAACATCGATGAGAGAGAAACATCGACCAGCTGCCTCTTGCACACCCCCTACCGGGGATGTGCCCATAACCAATGTACATGCCCTTGACCGGAATCAAACCTGGGACCTTTCAGTCCGCAGACCGACGCTCTACCACTGAGCCAAACCGGTTTCGGCCTGAGATTGACTTTCAAGCTGACTTTAAGGTTCTTGCTATTACAAATTAGCTTTCATTTAATGCATAGCGGTATATAGATTGCAGGTATCCAGTGGTTATTACATAGTTTACATGCCACTCTTGCCAAAGAGTAAAGGTAAATCTGGTTTTCTTTGAAGTTAAATAGTCCTAACTTCCTCCAGAGGGAGCTAAGGGCCCAGCATTTTCAGGACCTGGAGACAGTTTCTGCCCTGGTGTAACAGGACAACACTACTCTTCCCCAGTTAGACTAAACTAGCTATGAAGATGGGGTACTAACGCAGCAATGTTTTTTGCTCTAAATCAATGTTTCTTGCTCCTCTAGATG